GGCTACCCGCTCTCTTCTGTTCTCGGCTCCAGTTGTGAGGCTGAGATCTACGCCGGGGCCATGGCTGCACAGGAGCTTCGCTGGCTCACCTACCTGCTGACTGACCTCGGAGAGCCGCCTCGTTCTCCTCCAGTGCTGTACGTAGACAACAAGGCCATGCTGGCCTTGTGTCGAGAGCAGAGACTGGAGCACAGAACGAAGCACATTGCTCTCCGCTACTTCCTTGCTCGTGAGCTACAGCAGCGTGGTCAGCTGCGGCTTGCGTACGTGGCCTCTGAGGCCAACACTACTGATATCTTCACCAAGGCACTCCCGCCTTGTGATCATCAGCGCTTCTGTACTCAGCTGGGTCTTGTGCCTACCTTGCCTCACTTGCTCACCCCTTGACCTTGTTTGTACTGTTGCATATATATATAGCTTTGCTCTTGCTTGTCTAGCCTTATATATATATGCAATCCTGCATGTGAACTGGCCTTGTGGCCTTGAACTTGTGCTCGGAATGTGTGGTGACTTTGTGATCCACCCTGAGCTTGCTTTGCTTTGCTTGACTGGTCTTGTGACCCCTTGTTCTCCCCCACTTTGCCTATGGGGGTGTGTCAGATTTATATGACATAGCTACTGTAGGCTATAGTGGGGTAGCACATATGGGGTACAGTTTTCTAGGGTTTGCTTTTGTACCCAACTTTCCCTTAGTCAATTCATTCCTCGTTATTTCACACCTCTGTCCCCACTCCTGTTCCCTTGTTCCCTTCTGCGTTCTCAGCCACTACCTGCCCCCTCCTGTGCTCGTGCTCGAGCTGCTCGGGCGCGAGTCACAGGACTCTCAGCTGAGGACGGCTGCTCTTCATTCCTGCCGTGCGGGTCTGGTGGTCCACGGTCTGTTCTCCCTTCTCCTTCTCCAGCACTAGCACTCCCACGCCTCGCACTGCTTGCGCCCTCCCCTTCACTCTTCCCTAGTCCACACCCAGTGTATCCTTCTTTGCCCCTCTCTTCCCGTCCCACCTCTATAGCCGCCCTTATCCCCTTGCCTTCCTGCTGCTGCCACTGCTCACGGCTGCACGCATCCCTCAACTGCACGGTATGTAGGTCGTCCACCGCCACCGGTATCACCTCCTCCAAGTGTTCCGTTGCCTTAGCTCGCTCCCATGCCACCCGGTTCTCCGCTTCTTCCATTGTATGGTCTGCCTTTTCCCCTGTTGCTAGGGGCTCCCCTGCCCCCACTTCCTTACTCTCCTGCTCTGCTTCCCCCAGCAGCTCTGGCCTTCCTCCCCGCAGCTTCCTCACATGCTGCTCCGCCAGCTTGTTTCCCTGCGCTTGCTCCTCTGCTTGCATCCGATCCTTCATTGTCACGCCAGTCTTTGCCCCTGCCCTGATTTCCCTGAACAACTCCGCTGTCCTTAGCGATGGCTGCCGACCACTCCCTCCCATGTCTGTACTGCTCGGCCCCTGCTTCCCTCCTTTCTTCACCGCTCCCTCCTTTTCACCCTTCCCTTCCGCTTCTGCTGCCGCTGGTACACACGGCCTTGCCCCTGCCTCTACGTCCCTCTCTTCTACTTCTGCTGCTGCAAGTTCGCTCACTCCTGCCCCCACCTGCTCGTCCTTCTCCTCTGCTTCCGTGGCTGCTGGTACGCACGCCCAGGTCCCCTCTCTCTCATTCTTCCCTTCCCCTTCTGTGGCTGCCCATTCCCTCACCTTCTCATTCTTCCCTTCAATGCCTGCTGCTACTAATTCGCACACTCCCGCCTCCTCCTTCTCGTCCTTCTCTTCCCCTTCTGCCACTGCCCATGCCCTCACCTTCGTCGCTCGCTCCCTTCCTCCGTCCCTGCCCCCACTGCGCAGCCCCATGAATTCACTGCTACGAAGCACCGCACAGGAATATTCTGGCTCCTGCTCCTTTTCCTCTTCCTCCTCTTCCTCCCTTGCATACAACCCCACCTGCCTCTCTGTTCTTTCTCTGAGCGCCCGCCCTTTCCTTCCGTCTCTGCCCCCACTGCGCAGACCCAGTTCCTCATGGCTACGTAACGCCAGGCATGTGTACTCTGGCTCCTGCCCCTCCTCCTCTTCTGCTCCTTCTTCCCTCACGTACAACCCAGCCTCCTTCTTCTTACTCCCTCCCAGGGCCTGCAACTCCGCCCGCAACTTCCTTATCTGGCTCTCAATCTCCTCTGGTGACCCTTTCCTTCCGCCTGTCCCTTCATCGCAGTCCCTTGCCTCGTGCCCCCTTTCCCCGCACTCTTTACATGCCGCTGCCTCCGGGCAGTCCCTTCGGCGGTGCCCTGGCTTCCCACATACATCGCAGTTCCTGCAGTGCATCCTTATGTGCCCCGGCTGCCCACACCGGTAACAGGTGCGTGTCTCCGTCCTTTTCTCCGGCCTGCTCTCTTCTCCTGTTCCCTCCCCTGATATCATCGCCGCTGCCCAGGTAGGACTCTTCTTCTCTATCGTTCTTGGCAGGTATACCTCGTACTTCCTCTGCGCGAGCTCCACCCGCTCCGCTAACTCGAACACCTCCTCTGGTGTTGCATCTGCTCCTAGCTCATAGACTCTCATTCTCAACCCTCCTGCCAATCCCTTGTCTAAACCGTTCAGAAACTTGCTAATGATCATGCTGCTGTCCGTGCACACCACATCTTCCGCCAGGTTCGTTAACCGTCCGTAGTATGTCAGCAGTGACTCCTCATCCCTCCGCCTAAACTCCTGAAATTCCCTGATGCGCACCGCCGTATGCCCAGGGAACTGCTTCCTTAGGCGCTCCAGGAACAGTACCGTCGGGTCCTCGTCATCCTCTTCTGCCCTCCTCAGCCATTCACCAATCTTCATGCGATACAGAGTCTCTGCTTCCCCTCCCAACGTGTTAGGCAGGCTCAGGAAGAACTCGATCGGGTCCATCCCGCTTCTGTCGCATCGGTATTTAACATTGCTGATCTGCATCAACTAATTCTTCAAACTTGGGCCGGTTTTCTCGTTTCCCGTGAAGCGTACTGGCACCTCCACTCGCGGCTGTGCTGTTGCGCCCCACTTCCCTGTTTCCCAGCTCTCCGTCCCTCCTCGCTCAGACACCATAACCCCTCTCCTCCTCTCCTGTTCTCCCCTGCTCCGCGGGGAGGCGGGAGGCGCGTTGGCGCCGACGGAGACGATTCCCCTGCTGCGCGGGGAGGCGGGAGGCGCGCTGGCGCCGACGGAGACGATTCCCCTAGCTAGAGTAGCCTTGTTGCGGTAACGTTATCCACTATATGAGGCAAACAAGTCGAGAGAACAAGATTGCTTTGCTAGGCTAGGCTACTTGTGCCTGGCTTCCCAGTCGCACAGTTCTCTGCGTGATGGGTTGGGCCCGAGCCGCCTGGGCCTTGGATTGGCCCTCACCAGATTTCCTGTCTCCCAATGTCCCTGGAATTGCACCCGCAGCGCCCTGCAACCCCCAATGCTACCAACCCTTCGCTTCTCCCAACACCCAACTACCTCCCCTATAGGTTGAATAGCAATTGCTACAGCACTTCTACACCTCAATTAGCGTATGTCCAGAATATGATGTACTTACCATTATATTCGGTGACAACCAGAATCAGCTCCACGCTACAATGCACCCGCCAAGGCAAGCGCAGCATGGCATGGCAAGCAGCATGGCATGGCAAGCAGCATGGCATGACAAGCAGCATGGCATGACAAGCAGCATGGCATGGCAAGCAGCATGGCATGACAAGCAGCATGGCATGGCAAGCAGCATGGCATGACAAGCAGCATGGCATGACAAGCAGCATGGCATGGCAAGCAGCATGGCATGACAAGCAGCATGGCATGACAAGCAGCATGGCATGACAAGCAGCATGGCATGACAAGCAGCATGGCATGACAAGCAGCATGGCATGGCAAGCAGCATGGCATGACAAGCAGCATGGCATGGCAAGCGGCATGGCATGACAAGCAGCATGGCATGACAAGCAGCATGGCATGGCAAGCAGCATGGCATGGCAAGCAGCATGGCATGGCAAGCAGCATGGCATGACAAGCAGCATGGCATGACAAGCAGCATGGCATGGCAAGCAGCATGGCATGACAAGCAGCATGGCATGGCAAGCAGCATGGCATGACAAGCAGCATGGCATGACAAGCAGCATGGCATGGCAAGCAGCATGGCATGACAAGCAGCATGGCATGACAAGCAGCATGGCATGGCAAGCAGCATGGCATGACAAGCAGCATGGCATGGCAAGCAGCATGGCATGACAAGCAGCATGGCATGACAAGCAGCATGGCATGACAAGCAGCATGGCATGACAAGCAGCATGGCATGGCAAGCAGCATGGCATGACAAGCAGCATGGCATGGCAAGCAGCATGGCATGACAAGCAGCATGGCATGGCAAGCAGCATGGCATGACAAGCAGCATGGCATGACAAGCAGCATGGCATGACAAGCAGCATGGCATGACAAGCAGCATGGCATGGCAAGCAGCATGGCATGACAAGCAGCATGGCATGACAAGCAGCATGGCATGGCAAGCAGCATGGCATGACAAGCAGCATGGCATGGCAAGCAGCATGGCATGACAAGCAGCATGGCATGACAAGCAGCATGGCATGACAAGCAGCATGGCATGACAAGCAGCATGGCATGGCAAGCAGCATGGCATGACAAGCAGCATGGCATGGCAAGCAGCATGGCATGACAAGCAGCATGGCATGGCAAGCAGCATGGCATGACAAGCAGCATGGCATGACAAGCAGCATGGCATGACAAGCAGCATGGCATGGCAAGCAGCATGGCATGACAAGCAGTAACCCCTTGGGACTTCTCACAGCTCACACAGACCCGGCACCCACTCACTCACTTCTCATGCCCGACAATGCTGCGAGAAACACCATTCCGCACTCCATTCTTCTCCTACTTCTCGACATAGAAGGGCGTGCCCAGGAACAAGAAACACCCCGAGGGACACGGCATGTGAGGGCGGAAGGGAGAGGAGCAAATACCTTGCAGTTGCGTCCCAAACCACCACTCACTTCTCATGCCCGATAATGCTGCGCAGGATGTAGCCAATGAGCATGACGTAGCCCCACATCACCACCAGCATCAGCACCACGCTTGCCAGGGTCATCACCACGAGCCACCGCACTCCATTCCTTTCCCACTTCTTGACATAGAAGGGAGTGCCCAGGAACACGAGGCAGCCCAGGGCGTTGGAGAGAGGGGAGGTGGCGAGGCGATGGGAGAGGAAGAGGCGCTGCCGCTTGGTGGGAAGGCCGAGAAGGGTGTCTAGCCAGCGGTATCGGCCCCAGGGGTACTGCTCCTTGATGCGATTAGATACCTTGCTTCCTGTCATGCTGGCAAGCGGGACAGAGCAGAGGCAGGGAAGGGGGTGAGGAAGGCCGAGAAGGGTGTCCAGCCAGCGGTAGCGCCCCCAGGGGTACTGCTCCTTGGTTCCGTGGGATAGCTTGCTGCCCGTCATGCTGGCAGGGGGGCAGAGGCAGGGAGGGAGGAGAGGAGGGGCTTGTGGCGAGGTGGGCAGGCCCAGGAGGGAGTCCAGCCAGCGGTAGCGCCCCCAGGGGTACTGCTCCTTGGTGCCTTGGGAGAGCTTGCTGCCCGTCATACTGGCATGGGGGGCGGAGGCAGGGAAATGGAGAGGGGAATAGGCACGCTCTGGCGCTTGGTGAGGAGGCCCTGGAGGGAGTCGAGGCAGCGGCAGCGCCCCCAGGGGTACTGCTCCTTGGTGCCTTGGGATACCTTGCCGCCTGTCATGCTGTGAGAACAAGGGCGGGAGAGGGAGGAGAAAGGAGGAGGAAGTGGTAGGGAGAGGTGAAGTACAGAAGTAGGAGTAGGAAGTGGTAGGGAAGTACAGTGCACTGCACTGTACTGCACTGCACCGCACTGCAAGAGCCGCTGCCAACCTCTTTGAATCGCGAAGCCGCCTCACCTTCTCATAGCAACAAGGGACGGGAAGAACCGGCGCCACCCTGAGGGTCGATCCACCTGGCGCCACCCCTTGACCATATCAAATCCGCGCCTGTACGCCGCCCAGAACCGCTTCCTGATGGCCGGGTGCAGCGTGGAGAGCGACTGTGTGGGCAGCCTTTTCATGTACTGGTGAGGGGGGAGAGGGGAAGAGGGAAGGTGTGCAGATGGGTGCAGATGGGTGCAGATGGGTGCTGTTACTGCTCATCCTGCTCCATGGCCGGGTGCAGCGTGGAGAGGGACTGTGTGGGCAGCCTCTTCATGTACTGGTGGGGGGGGAGAGGGAAGGAGGGGGGGAGGGGGGGGGAAGAGGGGGTTGAGGAGGGGAAGGGATGGTTAGTTGCCGGGTGCAGCGTGGAGTGAGACTGGTGTACTGGCGGAGGGGGAGGTGGGGTGCAGTTGTGGGCTCTGTTAGTGTTCCTAACTGCACCTCTTCATAATAGGGGTGCTCCTTCAGTTTTGGTATCACCCAACTGCACCCAACTGCACTAGCCCTGCTGCACCGCCGGGTGCAGCGTGGAGAGCGACTGTGTGGGCAGCCTCTTCATGCACTGGCGGGGGGGTGGGGAGGGGTGGAGAGGGGCGGGAGGGGTTCGATGGGGGAGAATGGGTGGTTAGGAGGAGGGCAAGGGGTGCGGTATGGAGAGAGACTGGAAAGAAAGAAAGAAAGAAAGGGGTGGGGGTTGAAAAACCCACGTGCAAAAAGTTGCGTTTTGAGACGTCTCATAGCCAAACTTTCATCACGAGGTTGGAGGACGACGAGGGAGGAACGGAAGAAAGAAGGACGCGGGGGTTGGAAAAGGGTGGGAGAAGAGTGGGCGGTGCAGTGGGGGTTCGTAGTGCATTGAGGTGATTTCTGAGGCGCCTCAAAAATCACCTCAAAACCTCAAAAATCACCTCAAAACCTCAAAAATCACCTCAAAACTCACCTAAAAAATCACCTCAAAAATCACCTAAAAAATCACCTCAAAAATCACCTCACAAATCACCTCAAAAATCACCTCACAAATCATCTCACAAATCACCTCACAAATCACCTCAAAAATCACCTCACAAATCATCTCACAAATCACCTCACAAATCACCTCACAAATCACCTCACAAATCATCTCACAAATCACCTCACAAATCACCTCAAAAATCACCTCACAAATCACCTCACAAATCACCTCAGAGTGGGCGGTGTTTTGGGGGTTCTTAGTGGCTCTGTGGCTTTCAAGTCACCATGTACACACCTGAGACCTGAGCTTTAACTTGCGCCTGTGCGTTAAGCAGCACCCACGACTTCCCAGCTCCCATTGAAGACCTATAGAACCCGGGCTTTAGCTCGCACCAGGGCTTTAACTCGCACTCACGAGCTCAGTGGCTTTAAGCAGCACGTTGCCTCCGTGGGAGTGAGCGATCACGTGGATTCGCGCTGATGGGTCCCTGCGAGCTATCAGGTCGAACAGCCGCGCCAGCTGTGGTGAAGACGAGGGGAGGGGCGGGGAGGGGCGGGGAGGGGCGAGCAGGATAGCGCAGAGCGGAAGTACATGGGTCCCTGCTGGCTATCAGGCTGAACAGCCGCGCCAGCTGGGGTAAAAAAAAAGAAAGAAGCAGAAATAGGGGTGAGGGGAGAATGATGGGGGTAAAAACGGGGTTGAAACGGGAAGGGGAGCCAAAAGCAAGAGGACGACTCTTGAGGCGCCTTATAAGGGGGGAAAGGAGCTGCACTGCACCGCGCTAGTACCAGGAAGAGATTTAGATTTTTTCGAGGAAAGGGGTCCTCATTAGCAACCCAATCGTTGAATATGAAAACGCTCACGCTTCCCTTTCTCTTTTGCTCTCGAGGAAAACCAGTCTTCTCTTCTCCCTGTCTCACCTACTCCCCGCCTGGCCGTGCGTTCCTCATGTGTATTGCTCCCGACCCAGGATCAATTAATGAATCAAGAAACAGAACGCCCCAAAGCTCCAAAATCAACTTTGCATATTGCGTTTTATCACAGGAAAATTGCCTCAAATCCTCCCTACCCCAAAGAAATAAAATTGGCTCATTTCTCGTGGCCTCTAGTGTGTTGAGTCGCCTTTTGTAGTATGTTCTGCACCTTTTAGCAACGATTTCATTTTCTTTATTCTGTTTTTTTTGTCAGCCAGAAAAGCCGAGCACTTTTCGGTGCTTGCATGTTGAATGAAGTAAAAGAATCCGCGCAATTCTCCCATTCCAAGAATCCGCGCAGTAAAATCGTCCAGTCAAGTCAAGAACTGCCATTTCCCATTCTCCCCTTCTCTCCTCCCTCTACTTCCTCTCCTCCCTCACCTTTTCTGCCGCCTTCAACCGTCCCTCGTGCGTGTTGGTGCCATCCCAAAAGAACGGGTAAGGCACGTCACCGTCCATCATGCGTTGCCATGACTGGCCCCCCTCCTGCGACGATGCAGCTCCCTGCGACTGCGACCCCCTCTGCGACGCACCTCCCTGCGACTCTGCCCCTTGAGAATCCGTCGCGCGCGGAATTTCCCGCCACACGCTCCCCGCGCCGATGGGTCCGCGCGCCAGCAGCGCGCCCATCTTGGCGCAGAAGTTCTGCTCCCCCGGCGCGGGCGGCTGGTACCACGTGCGCGCGCCGTCCGCGGGCGGCGCGTCGAACGTGCCGTGAACGACGATCACGTAGTCCGTCTCGCGCCTCGCGTTGTAATCCACCGTGCGAACTCGCACGCCGCCCGCCTCGACGTCGCCCGTGGCCGTGGATGCGCCGCAGGCGACGTCGCCAGAGTCGTCGGGGCGAGAATTGGCGACGTCTTCCGAGTCGTTTTCGGCTGCCAGTCTTCGAAAGTCGTCGACATGACTGACCTCCCGCGGTTCACGCGGCATTTCCGAAGGAGATTAATTCGCGCTGGGGAGATATGAACACGTCAGCGCCAGAATTACACGCTAACGCTTGGCCAGAAGAGGAAAAAACTAACCAAAAACGTTGGAACTGCTCAGTCTCGGCGCTCCGCTGCACTGCTGTTGCAAATTGCACACGTTCCGTAACCGGCCGTTCTGAGTAATGATGTTTCTAGCGAAGGTCGGTAGTGTATCAGTGATTTGTTTCTTCACGCTACGGCTCGGCAATGTGAAGCCATGGTTGCCGCTCAGCTTTCTTGGGAAGAAAAGACTGTCGAGACTTTCTAAACTGGAACAGCTGAAGGGGGAGCGGTTTGGGAAGGTCTGGAAGATCAAGGGAGAATTCACGCATTTACTACTATTCCCTTCTAACCGCATATCAGAAGACATACCCCAACGGACAGCCGACTCCGCCCCGGAAAAAGACTTCAGAATACTTCAACAAAAAAACTGACCATGGTCCGATTTGGCTGGGTTGATATAACTTAGATTCTTCCGACAGGCGAGGAAATAAAACAGCTAAGACCCTCTCAAATGCATGCTATCCAAGTGGGGCATCAATCCCAAATATCATGCGACAATGTGGGTTAATGCCTCCCACGATTGCATGCCATTCCCTTATGAGGTTGAAACCTTCCATGGCTGTATTTTTTTTGCTCCTGGAAATAAGCTTGTTGGGCGGAGTCCGCTGCCGATTGAAATATAATAAACGAATTTACCACCGTATATGCTTGTTAACAGGTGCCACAACATCGCCAGAGTGAGATTCTGGAAACTTTGATAAGAAATTACTACCAAAAACAACAACTGTCTCTGTTCCCATAATAACCAGGCGTGAGCTTGTTTGCAGTCTTATTAGTATGCTAGTTGCCTAGGCAGCAAATCACCGTCCGTTTTTGTTTGAATTTACATGGAGAACGGAAGTGACATTACTCAGAAAGGTGTGTACATAAGGAAGTGTGATTCTGGCTATGTCCGTCGACATCCGTCAGTGCCCTATCTTCTGAAAAGGGGCACCAGAAGGTAGCGCGACGGGGTCGACGACATCCGTCCGTGAACAGAAGCGGCTCGACACGAGTTTTGACGGTTGTCAGAGCGTGTCAGAAGCATGGGCTTCATTATACTGTACTTCAGAATGTTTACCCAAGAATGTTTACCCACTTTAGTATCGTTCAAGAGCTATAAAAACAGTAATATTGCTCACCGGTTTGATTACACCAAATACCGTTCCCGAACGTGGTTGACCTCACATCAAACGAACTCAGATATGTCCAACCCGCTTGTCGTGTGTGTATTCTAGTATTTCCACATGCGATTCCAGCGCCGGCGCGTTCGGCAACTTCCCGGCGCGGACTCATTTTCTTGGAAATGCCGCGCGAACCGCGGGAGGTACATCATGTCGACGACTTTCGACGACTGGCGGCCGAAAATGACTCCAGCGACGTCGCCAGCTCTCGCTCGGACGACGGCGGCGACATCGCCTGCGACGCATCCACGCCCACGGGCGACGTCGAGGCGGGCGGCGTGCGAGTTCGCACGGTGGATCACAACGCGCGGCGCGAGACGGACTACGTGATCGTCGTTCACGGCACGTTCGACGCGCCGCCCGCGGACGGCGCGCGCACGTGGTACCAGCCGCCCGCGCCCGGGGAGCAGAACTTCTGCGCCAAGATGGGCGCGCTGCTGGCGCGCGGACCCATCGGCGCGGGGAGCGTGTGGCGGGAAATACTGCGCGTGACGGATCCTCAAGGGGCAACGTCGCAGAGAGCTGCGTCGCAGGGGGCAGAGTCGCAGGGAGCAGAGTCGCAGAGATCTGAGGCGAACGGGAGCGAGTCGCAGAGGGCACAGTCGCAGGGAGGTGCGGTGTCGCAAAGTGGGGGATCATGGGAGGCGGCGTCGCAGGAGGGGAGATCATGGCAGCGCATGATGGACGGCGACGTGCCTTACCCGTTCTTCTGGGACGGCAGCAACACACATGAAGGGCGCGTGAAGGCTGCAGAAAAGGTGAGGCAGGGGAGAGGTGAGGCAGGGGAGAGGTGAGGCAGGGGAGAGGTGAGGCAGGGGAGAGGTGAGGCAGGGAGGAGGCAGGGCAGGGAGAAAGGGAGGAGGTAAGAATGAGTGAGGGCTGAAGCAGCAACACTCAGGGGGGAAGCGTAAAGGCGGCAGAATAAGTGAGGCAGCAGAGGAGGTAGGGCAGAGAAATGGGAGGCAGGGGAGGAGGTAAGAACGAATGACGGCTGAGGCAACAACACGCACGAGGGACCCCCCCGCACCCCCCCCTTCCCACCCTCTCCCTCTTCCCCTCCCTCCCCACCACCCTCAACCTCAATTCCTCCCTCTCACCGGGCCCCCCCTCCCCTGCTCCCATCCCCAACCTTCCCTCCTCTCTCCGAACCACCCCACCTACCCTCACCCCTCGCTTCTCCATACCCCTGGTAGCCCATATATGCTCATTCTCTGAGAGATATCAAAAGTGTTCTCCATACCCCTGGTAGCCCATATATGCTCATTCTCTGAGAGTTATCAAAAGTGTTCTCCATACCCCTGGTAGCCCATATATGCTCATTCTCTGAGAGTTATCAAAAGTGTTCTCCATACCCCTGGTAGCCCATATATGCTCATTCTCTGAGAGATATCAAAAGTGTTCTCCATACCCCTGGTAGCCCATATATGCTCATTCTCTGAGAGATATCAAAAGTGTTCTCCATACCCCTGGTAGCCCATATATGCTCATTCTCTGAGAGTTATCAAAAGTGTTCTCCATACCCCTGGTAGCCCATATATGCTCATTCTCTGAGAGATATCAAAAGTGTTCTCCATACCCCTGGTAGCCCATATATGCTCATTCTCTGAGAGATATCAAAAGTGTTCTCCATACCCCTGGTAGCCCATATATGCTCATTCTCTGAAAGATATCAAAAGTGTTCTCCATACCCCTGGTAGCCCATATATGCTCATTCTCTGAAAGATATCAAAAGTGTTCTCCATACCCCTGGTAGCCCATATATGCTCATTCTCTGAAAGATATCAAAAGTGTTCTCCATACCCCTGGTAGCCCATATATGCTCATTCTCTGAGAGTTATCAAAAGTGTTCTCCATACCCCTGGTAGCCCATATATGCTCATTCTCTGAGAGTTATCAAAAGTGTTCTCCATACCCCTGGTAGCCCATATATGCTCATTCTCTGAGAGATATCAAAAGTGTTCTCCATACCCCTGGTAGCCCATATATGCTCATTCTCTGAGAGATATCAAAAGTGTTCTCCATACCCCTGGTAGCCCATATATGCTCATTCTCTGAGAGTTATCAAAAGTGTTCTCCATACCCCTGGTAGCCCATATATGCTCATTCTCTGAGAGTTATCAAAAGTGTTCTCCATACCCCTGGTAGCCCATATATGCTCATTCTCTGAGAGATATCAAAAGTGTTCTCCATACCCCTGGTAGCCCATATATGCTCATTCTCTGAGAGATATCAAAAGTGTTCTCCATACCCCTGGTAGCCCATATATGCTCATTCTCTGAGAGTTATCAAAAGTGTTCTCCATACCCCTGGTAGCCCATATATGCTCATTCTCTGAGAGATATCAAAAGTGTTCTCCATACCCCTGGTAGCCCATATATGCTCATTCTCTGAGAGTTATCAAAAGTGTTCTCCATACCCCTGGTAGCCCATATATGCTCATTCCCTGAGAGTTATCAAAAGTGTTCTCCATACCCCTGGTAGCCCATATATGCTCATTCTCTGAGAGTTATCAAAAGTGTTCTCCATACCCCTGGTAGCCCATATATGCTCATTCTCTGAGAGTTATCAAAAGTGTTCTCCATACCCCTGGTAGCCCATATATGCTCATTCTCTGAGAGTTATCAAAAGTGTTCTCCATACCCCTGGTAGCCCATATATGCTCATTCTCTGAGAGTTATCAAAAGTGTTCTCCATACCCCTGGTAGCCCATATATGCTCATTCTCTGAGAGTTATCAAAAGTGTTCTCCATACCCCTGGTAGCCCATATATGCTCATTCTCTGAGAGTTATCAAAAGTGTTCTCCATACCCCTGGTAGCCCATATATGCTCATTCTCTGAGAGTTATCAAAAGTGTTCTCCATACCCCTGGTAGCCCATATATGCTCATTCTCTGAGAGTTATCAAAAGTGTTCTCCATACCCCTGGTAGCCCATATATGCTCATTCTCTGAGAGTTATCAAAAGTGTTCTCCATACCCCTGGTAGCCCATATATGCTCATTCTCTGAGAGTTATCAAAAGTGTTCTCCATACCCCTGGTAGCCCATATATGCTCATTCTCTGAGAGTTATCAAAAGTGTTCTCCATACCCCTGGTAGCCCATATATGCTCATTCTCTGAGAGTTATCAAAAGTGTTTCCCATACCCCTGGTAGCCCATATATGCTCATTCTCTGAGAGTTATCAAAAGTGTTCTCCATACCCCTGGTAGCCCATATATGCTCATTCTCTGAGAGTTATCAAAAGTGTTCTCCATACCCCTGGTAGCCCATATATGCTCATTCTCTGAGAGATATCAAAAGTGTTCTCCATACCCCTGGTAGCCCATATATGCTCATTCTCTGAGAGTTATCAAAAGTGTTCTCCATACCCCTGGTAGCCCATATATGCTCATTCTCTGAGAGATATCAAAAGTGTTCTCCATACCCCTGGTAGCCCATATATGCTCATTCTCTGAGAGTTATCAAAAGTGTTCTCCATACCCCTGGTAGCCCATATATGCTCATTCTCTGAGAGTTATCAAAAGTGTTCTCCATTCCCCTGGTAGCCCATATATGCTCATTCTCTGAGAGTTATCAAAAGTGTTCTCCATACCCCTGGTAGCCCATATATGCTCATTCTCTGAGAGTTATCAAAAGTGTTCTCCATACCCCTGGTAGCCCATATATGCTCATTCTCTGAGAGATATCAAAAGTGTTCTCCATACCCCTGGTAGCCCATATATGCTCATTCTCTGAGAGTTATCAAAAGTGTTCTCCATACCCCTGGTAGCCCATATATGCTCATTCTCTGAGAGATATCAAAAGTGTTCTCCATATCCCTGGTAGCCCATATATGCTCATTCTCTGAGAGATATCAAAAGTGTTCTCCATACCCCTGGTAGCCCATATATGCTCATTCTCTGAGAGTTATCAAAAGTGTTCTCCATACCCCTGGTAGCCCATATATGCTCATTCTCCTGCCGCTCGTCGCAGCCGCAGAGCCTGTTACTCCTGTATTCCGGGACGCACTGTCTCGGTAGCCACTGAGAGCCTGCTGCACCAGTCGCCCGTGGGTCCGTTGCTTCTGCCGCTCGTCGTAGCCGCAGAGCCAGTTACTCCAGTATTCCGGGGCGCTCTGTCTCGGTAGCCACTGTGTCAGCCGCCACTGTGTCAGCCGCTTCTGTTGCCCGTGTGTCTGCAGCTTCAGTCGTCGCCTCCCATCTTCTCTCCTTTCATAGTCCCTCCTCCTTCTCACTTGCCCTCTGTGATAGCCTCTAGCTTTGCTGATAATTATGAACTATTGCTATGACTGCTCATTGTGCTGATTACACCCCACTTTGGCTATGGGGGTGTGTCAGAATATGTTGTTTGTGTAGCCTGCAGTGGGGTACTCTATAGTGAGTACAGCCCCTTAGGGTTTGCCATTTGTATCCTGCTGCTTGCTAGTTCAATCATTCCTTCTCAATTCTGTTCCTACACACATTCCTAGCTCGTACTTGGCTCCTCGTTACTAGTCCTACTGTGGCATAGGCTACTAAGCCTAGGCCGTACTCCTACTACTTCTGACAACCCAGCCATCAGGAAGCGGTTTTGGGCGGCATACCGGCGAAGATTTGATACGATCAAGGGGTGGCGGCAGGTGGACCGACCCTCCGGGTGGCGTCGGCTCTTCCCGTCCCTTGTGGTCATGAGAAGGTGAGGTGAGGTGAGGTGAGGAGGCCTGTATAAGGGGGAAACTGCGGTTAGAAGCGGGTGGTGGCGGTTCTTCCTGGCCCTTGTGGTCATGAGAAGGTGAGGCGGCTTCGCGGTTAAAATAGGTTGGCAGAGGTTCTTGCAGTGCAGTGCAGTGCAGTGCAGTGCAGTGCAGGGCAGGGCAGGTGCACGGACCCTCCAGGTGGCGATGGTTCTTTTCATCTCTTGTGGGAAATGCGAGGGGGTTAATGCGGTTGGTAGCGGCTGGCGACGGTTCTTTCCGTAACTTGTGGCCCGGGACAAAGGAGAAACTGCGGGTGGCAGCAGGTGGCAGCGTTTTTTCCTATCCCCTGTTCTTATGCGTGCAGGTGAGGGCGTGAGGTGTGGAAGGCGAGGTGTGCGGCAGTGAGGCATGGGAAAGGAGATGAGAAGAGTAGAGGCTTTGCTACCGCTGCCTGGTCTTTTGAGTCGACTCAAAAGTCACCTTGCTGCCTCGACTCCCTCCTGGGCTTGCCAGTCCCACCACAAGCCCTTCCTCTCCTCCTTCCCTGCCTCCCTAACCCATACCAGCATGACAGGCTGCAGGGTATCTCAGCGCGTCAAGGGGCATTACCCCTGGGCGGGCGCGATGCCGTTTGCTCAACTCCCTCCTGGGGCTGCCCACCAAGCAGCAGCGCCTCTTCCTCTCCTGCTTCCCTTTCACTCCCCCCTCTCTCACAGCATGACAGGCGGCAAGGTCTCTAACCGCATCAAAGAGCAGTACCCCTGGGGGCGCCAGTGCCTGTTTGTCCGCCAGTGCCTGTTTGTCCGCCAGTGCCTGTTTGTCTCCCACCGCCTCGCCACCACCCCCTCCTCTCCTGCTTCCCTGCCTACGACCCCCCCCTCCCCCCGCCCCTGCCAGCATGACGGCTGGAAAGGCCTCTAACCGCACCAAAGAGCGCTACCCCTGGGGGCGCTACTGCTGTCTCGACTCCCTCCTGGGCTGCCAGCCAAGCGGCAGCGCCTCTTCCTCTCCCACCGCCTCGCCACCAGCCACTCCTCTCCTGCTTCCCTTTCACTCCCCCCTCTCTCACAGCATGACAGGTGGCAAGGTCTCTAATCGCATCAAGAAGCAGTACCCCCGGAGGCGCTACCGCTGGCTGGACTCCCTTGTCTGTGGTCTCCCCTACTAGCTTCTTCCCTCACACTCGTTTCTCCTCTCTTGATCTCCCCTTACCCTCTCACAGCATGACGGGTGGCAAGGTCTCTAATCGCATCAAGGAGCAGTACCCCTGGGGGCGCTACCGCTGGCTGGACTCCCTCCTGGGCCTGCCTGTGAAGCGGCAGCGCCTCTTCCTCTCCCACCGCCTCGCCACCTCCCCTCTCTCCAACGCCCTGGGCTGCCTCGTGTTCCTCGGCACGCCCTTCTATGTCAAGAAGTGGGAGAGGAACGGAGTGCGCTGGCTCGTGCTGGCGACGGTGGCGAGTATTGTCGTGATGCTGGCTGTGATGTGGGGCTATGCCATGCTCGTCTCGTACGCCATCCGCAGTGCCGTTGCTAAAAGAAGGTATGCACAGAGCACCCAGGAATGACCCCAAGGCACAGATCACCCCAAGGCACGCCCCCAGAATTGTGATGCTGGCGGTGATGTGATGTGGGGCTATGCCATGCTCGTCTCGTACGCCATTCGCAGTGCTGTTGCTCGCATAAGGTGAGTCTTGAGTCGACTCAAATGTGGGCGTGGGGGAGTTTTATCGGGATGCTGGCTGTGATGTGGAGTTGGGCTATACAGGGAAACTTGAAGGGGCTGGTGTTGTTGGGCTATAGAGGGAAAGTTGTGCTCAGAGCACCGGGGAAGGTGCTTTCAGTAGCAAACAGGTGGGCTGCGGAGGGCCATCAACTCAAATGGTTCTAGGACGACGAAACAAACTCCATGGTATGCGGGAAGGTATGCTCAGAGCATCCGGGAAGGTATGCTTAGAGCATGCGGGATGTGGGGCTATGCCATGCTCGCCCCCCCCCCGTACTCGACATCATTGATCGCCTTGTTACTCGCCATGATTGCCTCAAAAATCGCCTCAAAAAGGCGCCTCAAAAAAAGTGGGGCTATGCCATGCTCGCTCCCCCCCCTACTCGACATCATCGATCGCCCTACTTGTTCTTCCAACCCCCCTTCTCCCCGCCCCCCGACCCCCCCAACTCACCGCCTCCCCCTCCCGCTTCCCCTCCTCCCCTCCCCACCCCCCTCCGCACCACGTGTTACCGCACTTGACCGCTTCAGTGTGGACGCCCCTTACCTGACGCCATTGATCGCATCGGCGCTCATCCTTGTCTTCGCCACCATCAGTGTCAGCATCGAGGTGCGCTCCCGCTGCACCGCATATTACCGCACTCAACCCAGCAGATGCTCCTTACCTGACGCCATTGATCGCATCGGCTCTCATCCTTGTCTTCACCACCATCAGTGTCAGCATCGAGGTGTGCTCCCACTGCATCGCACTGCACCGCACTGCAAAAGTCACCAGTGCCAGCTTTGAGGTGTGCACCCCACTGTGTGTGAAGGGAATCAGCCACAGCTTGGAAGTGTGAAGGAACCATTTGGAGGCACCCCAAAAATCGCCTGTCTGCTTGCTATGCTGTGGCTATATTTGAGGTGCCTTTAGCTAGAAAAGCAGTCACACTTCCAATGGACCATGGAACCATTGAAAGCAGTCACACTTCCAATGGACCATTGAACCATTGAAAGCAGTCACACTTCCAATGGACCATTGAACCATTGAAAGCAGTCACACTTCCAATGGACCATTGAACCATTGAAAGCAGTCACACTTCCAATGGACCATTGAACCATTGAAAGCAGTCACACTTCCAATGGACCATTGAACCATTGGCCGCTTGCCTGCCTGGCCGCATGCTTTCCTCTTTCCACGTGTATGAAGTTGAGACGTCTCAAAGCACTCCTCTCGACCCTTCTCGCCACCCTAGTATTCCCCCCTGAACTTCTCTCTTTCCCTCCTCTGCCTCCCCATCTCCCCTTAGCTTCTCTCTTTCCCTGCTCCGCCTCCCCATCATCTCCCCCCTCCAGGTCTCCCCCGGCACAGCCTTCTACAGAAAAAGCGTCTACCACTGATTACCGCACCCTCTTATTACTGCAACCACTCATTACCGCTCTGCACACACCCCTTTCCATCGTCTCCCGCTCCAGGTGTCCCGCAGCACTGCCTTCTACAGCGGAAACATCTACCACTGGTTACCGCAACCACTCATCACTGCAGTTCTACCACTGATTACCGCACTGCACCACGCCTCATCTCCCCTCTCCAGGTGTCCCGCAGCACTGCCTTCTACAGCGGAAACATCTACCACTCGCCCGACTTTGATTGGTCACATGCCATGTCAGCACTGGTTGTCCACGCTGGCAAGCTGGATGAGGTAAGCCGTTGTAGGGTGCTGATTCTGAAGCTTGAGGTGCTTCAAAGGGCGTCAAGTCTGAATCTTCCGAGGGCAAACTCGATGAGGTGAGATTGGTGGATGAGGGTGCTACTGCTCCCTTTGGACGAGGAGAGATTGATTCTCACCAACCTTGGTTGGTGCATGGTGGGAGGTGGGACGTGGGACGTGGGAGGTGCAAAATGGGCTTCAACCACTTGTTCTTACGCCGTTGCTGCTCGACCCTTGTGTACATGTCTAAGAAAGGCCATTCGCCTTTGAGACGTCTCAAGCCCTGGTTCTCCTCAACCCTGTGAATCCCAAGAGTTGCTGCCACGTATCGACCCAATGGCACCTAACTGGTGTTCACAAGGCCATACGGATTTAAGACGTCTCAAGCCCTGTTTTTCCTCAACCCGATTAAACTTGCCTCAGAAAAGCCAATTGCGTTTGCGCTGGTACCACCCCTCCCCTTATCCTCTCTTCCCCTCTCTCCCTTTTCCTCCTCTGTTCCCTCCAAACCAGGCCAGCCTAGCTCTGAGTTCCGAGCCTATCGCCCAAGCCTACGTGTTCCCGCACCTAGCCAATATGCTGAAGCTGCCCTTCTGGAAGCGCCTCCCCCAGTTCCCACCTCACGACGCCGTGCCTCTCGACTGGCTGCTCTACTTCGCATCCTTCGGCCGCATCCTCCTCTGGAACATCATCTTCATTCTCCCCGCGCTGCTGCTCTCTCTCATGTCTCATGTGGTGGCGCCGCTGGTGATAGGCGCGGTGAGGAACGTGATTGTGGTGATCAGCTTCGGGCTCGCGCAGAACGAGCTGAGCTTTGCGCATGTCTTCATGGACGAGATTCTTGACCTGGTACTCTCCTCCCAACACGTGGAGCACTGGAACGTGCAGGTGAGAGACGGCTGCGAGGGTTGGGTGGATGGGTGGGGTGGGTGGGTGGGTGGTGGGGGAATGGGGGTTCAGGACTCTCGACCTGGGGCCCTCCTCGCAGCACGTGGAGCACTGGAACGTGCAGGTGAGGGGATGGTGGGTGGGCAGGGGTGTGTGTGTGTAAGGAGTACCCTTGCTGAAGGCAGCAGAAACAGCAGGTACCTTAGTGGGCTGGCGCAGAACGAGCTCAGCTTCGCGCATGTCTTCATGGACGAGGCTCTCGAGCTGGGGCTGTCTTCTCGGCACGTGGAGCACTGGAACGTGCAGGTGAGAGACAGTTGGGAGGGGTGAGGTGGGGATGTAAGTGCTTTCCGTGCAGCATGCAGGGGAAGCAGCAGGGGCCTGGTGTGCTCTGCTCTCAGCGCATGTCTTCATGGACGAGGTGCTCCACCTGGGGCTGTCGTTCCAACACGTGGAGCACTGAAACGTGCAGGTGAGGGGGTGAGGGATGGTGGGTGGGTGTGTGGGTGGGGATGGGGTGTGAAGGGATGGGGGCATAGAAACTCCCTTTGCAATTCTTGGAACGTGGGGTTGACTTCGTGGGGTGTGAGGTAAACCCCCAATTGTAACTTTTCACACACTGTGTGCTCAGTGACAGCTCAGCCGTAGGCTTGACAGCTCAGCCGTTGGCTTGACAGCTCAGCCGTTGGCTTGACAGCTCAGCCAAACCCGCCCTCCTTCCCCATCCCTCCCATCTCCCTTGTTCGCTCCCTTCTCCTTCCTCCCTCCCTCCACCTTCCGACTCCCCTTCCCACTCCCACTTCCCTCCCCTTCCCTCTTCCCACCTTCTCAGAAACTTCTGGCACTGGCAAATACGCGCTCTCTACAGGGGGAGCTGATGGCGGGGTATGAGGATGACACCTGTGACATGGGGGAGGCGGTTTTTGAGGCGGGGCTACTCGGGGAGGGGTTATCTGAGGAAGGGGTACCTGGAAAAAATGTTGATGGGAGGAATGGGGAGGGTATGAAGGGTGAGGGAAGAGGAAAGGGTAAGGGTGTTGAAGGGACTGGGGAGATAGCTTCAAGAAGGGATGGGGAAGGGGAAGGAGAAGGTTGGAGGAATGGGCGAGGGGTGCAGCAGGTAGGGGCTGGTGTGAGTGGGTTGGGGTCAGCAAGACAGGAGGTGGCAGAGAGGTGTTTTGAGTCGACTCAAAACACGGCTGGTGTGGGTGGGGTGGGACCAGCAAGACACCTGGTGGCAGAGAGTGTTGGGGCAGCAGCACCAATAGCATCACAGCAGGAGTCAGCTGTAGCAGGTACAGAGGCTATAGCAGGGTCAGCGGCTGTAGCAGGGGCAGCGGCTGTAGCAGGCAGCACTGGGGCAGGGGAGGAAAAGGACAAAGAAAGCCGCTACCGCCCCGTTTTAGAGCCGTCTTTCAGTGCCTCTGCCGGCCAATGGCAGCGCAGCGCGAGCAGGCTGCGGCGGCGCGTTACATTCAAGAGCGTGAGGACACTCGGAGACGATACCCGGGGAGATGAAACCCGTGCAGATGAAACCCATGGAGATGAAACCCGTGGACATGTAACGGCCGGAGATGTAACTCCTGAGCGTCCTCTCCTCCCACTCAGCACAAGTCAGGACTCATCCTCCGCTGACCCCTGTTACTCTCACACTCGGACACGAGGGGAAGAGCACCAATCTAAGCAGCAGGCAGGGAGAGAGGAGCACGATAGCACGACCAAGAATGGTGAAGTGCTGAAGAGAGGGGAGAAACGCGGCGAAGCTGAGAACTTGGGGCATGTCATGGGGAGTGTGAATGAGGGTGTAACAGAGGGGAAGACGCACGGGGAGGAGCAACTTCTGTACGAGTATTTATGGGATGATAAGGAGTTGGATGAAGCAGCTGCTAAGTGTCTTACTTACCAGTGCCTCAAGCCTGAAATCAAGAAAATGTGGCGGAATCCCCGACTGACCCCAGAGGAGTCTGTTAGGAGATTAAAGAGCTATGTGTGATGATTGAGGACCGGTTTAAGGAGCTCACGGGAAAGTTTGACCTGAATCACGGGGCGTACTTTCGAGATCCCCGGATTCTGGGGGTGGTTGCGCATTTTCTGGAGTTTCGGGAGCTTTCGGAGTGGTCTAAAGCGATTGATACCGATGTAATGAGGGCTGAGCACATGGTGCATTCAAGCTGAGGGTGGCTGGGCTTGTGAGATGGCGTTGCTGCCGAACTGTGAGCTTAGCTTTGGCGGTTGCTAGGATGAGGACTATTGTATCCATGGCGCTTGCCAATTGATGTGATATGAGGCATAGAGGGGGGTGACTGTAAATATGCGTTGTATCGTCGGTGTGAGAATGTGTGGATGATGAAATTACTTTGTTGAGGGGTAAATTTCACAATGTTTTACGGTAGTACAAGGTTCGGCGACTCATGTACATCGAATAGGATGCTAGTACCGCACGTAGTTGAGAACACTGCAGCAACGCAAATGTACTGTACACGTATCCTACCAGATTCGACAACTGCCTTCTCCTTTGCAAGCTGCCACGATGTCGGCATAAAGCGCGGACGCCGCAGCAAACACGCGTCACACGATTCGAAACGGGACTCTCTGTTGTTCACATGTTCACTTCACTCGCTCCAGCCAGTGATGATAGGATCCTATCGACCAATAAAAATGATTGCACACCTGCAAGCCCCTCTGCTTCCCACAGGGCACACAATGCATTTATGGTCCTTCCACCGTTCCTGAATCCTCCAAACACCTTTTTGTCACCTTGAGAATGCCGCCACACGGGAGTGAAACGGGTTGGGTTGGGATGGGATGGGATCCATCCATCCGTCCCTAGGGAATGTCTTTTCACTCTAGGGCGGGGACCGCAATGCCTCGGGAATGGCGTGAGAGAGAATGGTGTACATCGATTTGACAACTTCAGTGGATGTTCACTCACGAGCATTTCAGTCACGACAAAAAATCAGTCCTGCTAGCTCATACAGTACCTGGTCCTCAGCAACACTTCATATTTTGACTCGATTCATAAACAGCAGGAGGCGAAGTTTTTCAAATACTTTTTCCTTTCAGAGCCTCTTTAGTCCAGTAAATCTGGTCATAGATTCTAAACCGCAGCTTTTGGACATTAGACTATCCCATCACTTGCCTTCTTTACGCAATGTCCGAGATAGTGGCTAACCAGCGAGGAGATTCAGCGTTGATATTTCACGATCAGTCTAGGAAGGAATCGCGAAAGGGAGTTCCGATTCAGATTCACGAACCGGCGCTTCCATCGCCGCGTCGCGTGGCACCTTCTAAGAGTCCACGCGGGTCCGCGTCGTTTAACGTCTTCAGCTCCACGGAGTTGAAGGTCCCCAAATCGCCTCGTCGGTCAGTCGCTCCAGAAGTTACCTTCTCCGATCTCCAAGATCAACGTCATGATGATGACGACGGCGACGCAGTGCTTGCTAGGGTTGCTACGAACGACAGCATTAATAGTTTGCGGGCCGTTCGACCGCAAGCCACCCGAAACCAGGCCATCACCAGCACCGCAAATAAATTATCAAGTAGTTCTAGTACACGTACTAGCACGTCTAGTAATGCTACTGCACGTAGTAGTAGACACACTCGTACATCTAGCTCTACCAGTTCGAATGCTCTTCCGGTGACGCATGAACAAGACGGTAGTCAAGACGGAGAATGCGAGCAACTGGGCGAGTCCGTCAGCAATGACGGCCCTGGAACCAGCGAGAGCCGGCCGACGCTTGGCGTGAATGTCGTTCAGACGACGCCTCCGACGACGACGAAGACGACTGCATCACTTGATCATGCCCCAGGTTCTCATGAAAATATTAAGAGGCATCTCCCAGGGAAATCTCGCAGCGCGCATGAGGGGTCTGTGATAGTATCGCGAGAACGGAGAGGAATTCCCGCATCAGCATCCCGCGTCGCTGTTAGTAGCTCGGGACATTGTTCGGTTTACGACCTACAGGGGAGCGATAGCCGTCAGGAGAGTTTCAACCGACAAGAGAGCTATAGTAACCGTCAGAAGAGCTTCAACCGTCAAGAGAGCTTGAATGGCCACGAGAGTGTTGACCGTCAGGGTCACCCAGACGAGCTGCGTGGCCGTCAGGTTCGATATCTCCGTCAAGAAAGCTTCTCGCATGTGGAAACCCGACAGAAACCGTTTGACCGTCAGGAAAGTACCGGTCGTGAGATTGGTTATCGGCGACTGGCGAGCTTTCAGCGACCTCCTCCCACGCTACAGCAGTCGCAGCAGCACAGGAAGCGCGCATCTTTCCCGGAAATACACCTCGATTTTCCTAACGAAAAGCACGGAGAAACGAGCCCTCGCACCAGCAGTAACAGCAGAAGCAGCGTCATCGTCAGCAGCTGCAGCAGCAACAGCAGCAGCAACAGCAGCAGCGTTGTGACCACCAGCAGCAGCGGCGGAGGCAGCAACAACGAGTTTGGTCGGCGGGCCACCAGCATGAACAGCCAGAACTCCGCTACCAGCGTTCCCGTTGATCTATATAATGCCGAGGTGGGAATCACATTATTGCCCGGCGCAGTTGATGCAGCCAAAGCATCAGCCGCGCAGGCGGCGGCAAGTCCGGCGGCGAGAAGGCTCCGCGCAGAGCCCGCGGGCCACCGTCGCGCGCAGTCCGACGCTGACGCCCTCACCGCCGCGGATTGGGCGCACGAGCGCTTGCGCTCGTTTAACATTCGGAAAACCGGCGGGGCGGAAGGGGTTTCTCCAGGTGGCGCAATTTCCAGCACAAGCGCAGCTTCCGTGGCGGACGCTCCCCATGCGCCCAGCCCGCGCGGGCGCAAGGTCTCGAGCGCTTTCGCAAGTCCCGCGAGCGGAGCAGTGGGGGGGAGAACGCATACCTCGCGCTGCTCTTCCGCGCGAGCGCGGCGGGCGAGCGCGGATGCGACGGACCTTGGGGGAGCCCTGTCGATTGAGGGGATGGCGACGGGGCAGAGTGACGGAAAAGTGAAGGTAGAACAGAAGGGAGAGGAGGACGAGATCTCGGAGAAGCAGCAGCAGCAAGAGGAGAAGCAGCAGCAGCAGCAGCAGCTGCTGCTGCGGCGGCGACAGAAGAAGCTGGTCCAGGCGAGCTTCGTAGATCGAAGGACTGGAGAGACGGCTGGCCTTAGTCTTAGCCTCGGCGGGAAGGACAAGAGCGCGAACCAATGGCGCTCCGCCATTGAACGCTCGCCTGGCGCGGGCGGGCTTGTGTCGCCGCGCGTGGGGGATGCTTCCCCTGGGGTTGCCGGGGAAGGGATGCGATCTGCAGGAGACGCGGCCGTTGCGGAGGCAGGGAGCGGGGCGAGGGTGAACAGGAAGGACGAGAGGAATAACGAGAGGGTTGAAGAGAAGAGCGGGGAGGGGGTGAAGGTGGAGAGGAAAAGCAAGGAGAAAGGAGCTAGGCGGGACAGAGAAGGAAGGCGGTCGAGGATAGAGGGGGAAGATGGTGGGTGGAAGGGAGCGACGGAGAGGGAGGCTGAGGGAGGGAGGGAGGAGAAAAGGAAAGGGAGGAGGGAGGATATGAGGGAGAACGGAACAGAGGAGGGGAGGGAAGAAGGGGCGGAGGGAAAGATTGAAGAAGAAGGGGGAGGGAAGAGGGATGGCAATGGGGAGGAACGGGTGGGTAAAGAAGGGGAGGAATGGAGTGAGAGCGAACAAGAGGAGACGGGAGATGATTCAGTTTACAGGAGGCCCTCTCTCACCTCTGGTTGGCTGGATTCGGCTGGGAGAAGTGGAGCAACAGCAGGTGGAGATGCAGCAGCAGTAGCAACACCAGCAGCAGCAGCAGGAATGGCAGGAATGGCAGCAGCAGCAGAGGCGTCACAAAACACCATGCTCTTGCTGCTGAGTCCTCAAGGCAACCCAACCATGCAGCAGCAGCGGCAGCAGCAGCAGCTCCTCTCCGCCCATCTGCCCGCCTCCGCCCCTCCTTCTACTGCTCCTTATCCGTCATGGCAGCAGCACTTACTCCATCCTCCATCCCCACTTGCTCTTGGCGCCCCTTCTTCTCAACCGTTTCCTCCAGCTTCCCCTCAAGCTTTCCCGCAGCAGCAGATCAACCTTCGCCAAGTCAGCCCTAGCCCTCCTCAGAAGCCCATGCATATGCCTGTGCCCATGCCGGTGCCCATGCCCATGCCCGTGCCCATGCCTGTGCCGATGCTCATGTCCCTGTCGAACCCCGAATTCTCCTACCCCTGGTCTGCAAACCCTAATCTGTCAAATCGTGAGTCCCCTCAACCCTCATCATCTCATCCACACTCCCCTTACTCCCTCCCTCAACCACCAGGATCTCCCCACCTGCAAACTGCACACCTTCCCCCCTCCCTCCTCTCCCAAACCTTCCCTTTCCTCCCTCCGATCCCCCATTCGCACTCCCACCCTCTCGTTCCCCCTTCCCCCTTCGCCTTCCCGCTCTCCCCAGCGTCTCCCTCCCTGATGCTGCGGAAAGTATGGGATGCAGAGGGGCCATGTGATAGCGGGGCCTCTCAGGGGGACCTGTATGGGCTGGTCACGCCTGATGCTGAGGACTTGCACGAGTCTTGGCCTGCTGCTGCTGCTGGTGGGGGTAACAAGGCGCCGCACGAATCTCTCCCTGTTGCTGTTGGGGATGGCAAGGGGCGAGGAGGGGTAGCAGCTGGTGGTTCTGTGGAGGAAGCAGAGGGAGGTGCGTCAGGGGAAGCTGGGAATACGAGTGATGGGAGTGTGGCGAGTTTTGAGACATCGCAAAGCTCTCAAAACTCAAAGGATGGGAGAGCGGCGAGTTTCGTAGCAGTCGAAAGAAGCCAAGGGGCGAAAGGAGAAGAGCAGAAGGATGAGAGGGAGGAGGACGGGGATGAGGCTTTACCTGTGTGTAAGCCGTTGGGGAGTGATGGGATTACAAGCGGGGTGGTAGGTTTCCAGCAGCAGCCGCTACAGCAGGTGCAGCAGCAGCAACAGCAGCCGATGAATATGATGCAGTTTCAGCACTCTCAAATGCAACAGGTGCAGCAACAGCAACAGCAGCAGCACCAGCAAAAACAGCAGCAGCAGCAACAACAGCAGCAGCAACAACAACAACAACAACAACAACAACAACAACAGCAGCAGCAGCAGCAGCAGCAGCAGCAGCAGCAGCAGCAGATTCAGCACCCACAGATACAACAGGTGCAGCAGCAGCTGTTACAACTGCAGCAACAGCTGCAGCAGCTGGAGCAGCAGCACGGTGTGCAACCCATGCAGCAGCAGCAGCAGCACACCGCTCAGTCTTTCGTTCCCTCCACGATTGCTGGACCCTTCAACTTCACTGTGAATGCCTCCATGGGTGCAACTCCCCGTTCTCTCCATCCTTCCATGCATCCTCCTCCCCACCCTGCGTTAAGCATATTCCACCCTCCCCTCGACACTTCACTCTGCAGTGTTATCAGCAGCAGTGGCGGCGGCAGTACCCCCACCACCAACGCTGCAGCTACCACCATTCCCGCTACCGCCACTGCCACAACAAGCAGCAGCAGCAGCAGCAGCCACAAATTTAAGCGAGTACCAAGCGGCGGGTCCAAAGCACCTGACACACCTGGCAAAACCCCTAGCGCTCCAAAGGAACCTTCCTCGCTGCCTCTCCGCCGCCTGTGGGCTTCTGCAGAGACCATCCCAGTGGATCATATTCTCAGCAACGAATCCGAATCCCTTCCGCCCCCTCTTTCTCCTCGCTCTCACGCTCCCCACTCCCCCCGCCCTGCTGTTCCGTTTTCCTCCTCCGTTAGCGCTCTCACCCCCCCTCTTCATATTGGGAGAGCCACGCCACGTGGCAGCAGGAGATTGACCGTGGAGGTCCCGGCTTGTCAGAGCGAAGATCTTGATTTGTGTAGGACACCCAGGGCCAGTACACCCAGAGAAGGTACACCCAGAGTAGGTACACCCAGGACAGGTACACCCAGGGCAGGTACACCCAGGGCAGGTACACCCAAAGAAGGCACAACCAAGGCAGGTACACCCAGGGCAGGTACACCCAAAACAGGTACATCCATTTTCAGCTCAACCAATCCCAAGGGTGAGGCTTTGACTCCTAGAATGCGGAGCCAAGGAACCAGATCCTTTAAAGCCTCTGACTCGTTTAGAGTAAAAGATGGTACAGGACAGCCGCAAAAGTCGGACAGTATCGAGGCTGGGGAGCCCGCAGCTGCAAAAGAAGGAGAAAAGGAAACGGAGGGGGAGAGGGGGAGGAAGCATGAGACAACGAAAGGGAGAGGGCAGAAGAAGGAGGAGGGCGAGGAGGGAAAGAAGGAGAAGGAAGAGGATAAGATTAAAGAGGTAGACACGCCTGATAAGCCTGATAAGCGGCTTTGGTCCCAGTTGAAGGATCGCTTCCGAATGCGGTCATCTAACAGAAGTATGGACGCCATTGCATTCTCACCTCTCTCTCTCCCCCCTACTGACCCACACCACTCACTGCCTCCGTCCCGCTTCCCTCTCTCTCCGCGTCACGCCCCTGTGCCTTCCGAGCAACCCGCTGCAACCCCGCTTCTACCACCTGACGCCGCTTCTTCTGCCCCTTCTTCTGCCCGGTTTTCTGGACCCGCGGAGGGTAGTAATCCTGTGATTGTGAGCAGCAGGAGCAGTGGCAGCAGCAGGAAGCTCGCAGTCTCTGCTTCCTCTCGGAGCCTGAAGCAAGCTGCCAGCTTTGCTATCAGGGGGGAGGGCAGTGCTGAGCCTAGTGTTGAAGAAGGTTCCAGGAAGGATAGGAGGTCAGCTGCTGGTGTTGCTGTTGGCCCTGGTGCTTCCAGTGTTGCTGCTGCCGGTTCTGCTGCTGCCGGTTCTGCCGCTGCAGACGCAGCATCTAGGAGGCACAGGCGAGCCAAATCAGCTATTAGTTTCGCGGTGGCTGATTATATCGAAGCAGGGGTGAAGGGTGTGGGGTTGAGCGACAGCGAATCAGATGTGACCAGCACACGTGGCAAGGTTGAGACCAGCACACGTGGCAAGGTTGAGACCAGCACACGTGGCAAGGTTGAGGAGAGAGGGGGAAAGAGAGGCGGGGAGAGAGGTGGGGAAAGAGGGAGGGGACGAATGGGGGAAAGACAGGGGGAGAGAGGGAAGGAGAGTGGTAAGGAGAAGGAGCTGGAGAGGCATGATACAAATCGGAGGGACGTGCAGAAATGGGTGTCGAGCCTTGTTCCTCTGAAAGGTGGGGATGATGGCGATGAAGGGGACGAGGGGGATGAGGGGGATGATGAGGATGGGGGAAGAGTGATGATGATGCGCGTGGCAAGTGCTGGTGAGGTGACTACGAGCAGAAGCCCTAGAACTCCTGGTAAATCTCCTGGTAAAAGCTTGACAGGGAGCAGGCGAAGAAGCCCCAAAAGCTTCAAGGAAGGGCAGGGCAGAGGAGACTCGTTATTGGAGAATTCGTTAATCCGAGATCATACTGGTGACGAGAAAGAGCAGCAGAGGCGACGCCGGGAACGGCGGCTGCGGCAGCTGCGAGTGGAAAGGAGGTTGAGAGGGGGAGAGGAGGAGATGGGTTGGGAAGAGGAAGGAGATGAGGGGGTGGAGGGGATGGAGGGGGAGTCGGGGATAGGAGAGAAGGGCGGAGGTGAGAGGGGGAGGAGCGAGTGGAAGGGAGGCAGCAGGCAGGCATGTGCGGCTGAGGTGTTGCTGATGAGACAGTTGCAGGAGAGGGAAGAGGATGAGGAAAGAGATGAGGGCGGAGGTGGGGGAGGAGATGGGGGAGGAGATAGGCGAGGAGAGAAAGATGGAGGGAGAGAGCAGAGGAGGAGGGATAGATCCCTAGGCAGGGCTTCCTTCAGGGAGACCGAGAGTGGGGAAGGGAAAGAGGGAGATGGAGGACGTATGGAGAGAGGGAAAGGGAAGGGGGCCAGGGATGGAGGAGAGAACGTGGGTGAGCAACAGCAAGAGAAGGAACATATGGAAGTTGAGAGTGGGAGTGCCAAGCAGCCTAAGATGAGGGACGAGGCTGAGTTGAGAAAGGCACGGGATGGGGAAGCAAAGGAGGGCGGGGTACGGGGTGGAGAAAGGAAGGAGGGTGGAGAAAGGAAGGATGGCGAGGAAAGGAAGGAGGGTGGTGGGGAAAGGAAGGAGGGTGGGGAAAGGAAGGAGGGTGGGGAAAGGAAGGAGGGTGGTGGGGAAAGGAAGGAGGGTGGGGAAAGGAAGGAGGGTGGTGGGGAAAGGAAGGAGGGTGGTGGGGAAAGGAAGGAGGGTGGGGATCGGAAGGAGAGAAGAGCAAGGAAAGACATCATCTCAAAGCTCTCAAAGCGAGACAGGGCCTTGGCGCGCAGCAACGAGAAGGTTTACGCCACCATGCGCCGATCTAAAGACCTCAAGTCCACCAGTGGTGGTGACCCCTCTGATCCTGCCAAGCCCTCTCCTGCTGCTGCTGGAGCCCTTGCAGCTTTTGATGCGTCTAAAGTTCGCGGCGCGATCACCCCGGGACGGTCCCGGGGGAAAACTGGCGGGACCTCGTTCCGGGCGGCTGAAAAGAGCATGCTGCCCGATTTCGAGACGGCGGTGATGGATTTGAAGCTGGATCTGAAGGCAGCAGCAGGCAGCTCGTCTCGCTTTGAGGATCATCGGCAGAAACAGTCGGCTTCAGCTGCCGCTGCCGCTGCCGCTGCCATCGCTGCTGCTGTTGGTGGTGGTGCTGCTGCTACCGAGGTCTCGAGCAGAAGCAGCAGGGCGAAAAGCCCTTGGCGTAGCTCCAAGGACCGTAGAGGGATGTCTCAGAGCGACCTGCGCTTTGACCTTGACCTCCCAGAAGACCCCCTTGGGGACCTGGATAACGCCTCTTTGGATAAAACCTCTCTGGATAAAACCTCTTTGGTTGATGCCTCAGTGGGTGACAGAGGGGGGTTGGGGCTGGGCGGGAAGGGGCGGGTGCGTGAGAGGGGGTTTCGACGGTCTGGTGAGAGCGCGGGGAGTTTGACTGAGGTGGTGAGCGGGAGTGGCAGGGAGAAGGCGAGGGAGAAAGGGCGGCGGGTGAGGAAGGAGCGGACGCAGGAGGGGGAGAGGGAGAAGGAGAGGGAGCGGGAGAGGAGTAAGGACGGAGGGAGATCATCCTCTGGTGCGCGTGCACCTGATAATAGTCAGAGCAGCAGCACCCCAGGCAGAAGCAGCAGCAAGGATGGCAGCAGCAGCAGCAGCAGCAAACGTCCCAGCAACCAGAGCCAAAACCTCAGCCCATTAAGGATCGAAATGCCTGTCTCGCCCCATACCCCGTCGTCGTCGGGCTTTAAAGCCAGCTTCTTATCAAGCATGCTGTCTCCGAGGGGAATCATAGGCTCCTGGCGGCCTACTAAAGCAGGGCTTTTAGGCGGGGAGATTTGCTCTCTGCAGGAGCGGTACTTAGTTAAGCAGGAGATCGGGAGCGGGTCGTATGGGATGATCCGGGCTGTGAGGGAGAAAGAGACGGGCAAGACATGGGCGTGCAAGAGCATTGGGAAGGATCAGATTCAGGTGTGTGTGTGTGTGTGTGTGTGTGTGTGTCGAATCGACTGATTATGAGAGGTGGGAGTGAGGGAGAAGGAGACGGGGAAGACATGGGCGTGCAAGGGCATTGGGACGGAGCAGATTCAGGTGCGAGAGAAACACAAGGGTTGTTTGCCCGAGTTACCCCAAAACCCCCATTTTCCATTCCACGCAATCCTCTATCCCTGTTCATCCATTCACTCGCTCCCCTCGTTGCCCATCCCCCCGCTCCCCATTCCACGTCTCCCTCAATCCCCCATTTCCCCATTTATCTGCTCCCCCACTCCCCCACGCCTCCCTTCATGCAAAGGTAGCTGAGGCAGGAGGTGGCAGTGATGCAGCTGCTGAAGGGGCATTGATTCTCGCCCTCCATTCTCCCTTCCCCCCGTTCCCCCACTCCCTACTCTCCCACCACCCTCACAGACCAAGGCAGCAGTGGCAGCGTTGCAGCAGGAGGTGGCAGTGATGCGGCTGCTGAAGGGGCATGCGCACGTGGTGGAGATGAAAGAGACAGTGGAAGATGACACGGTATGTGTGTGTGTGGGGGGGGGGAGGGGGGGTTGCGTGTGCGTGTGTGTGTGTGTGTGCATGTATGGCATAGGGGGCTGATGATGTGAGGGCATGCTCATGTGGTGGAGATGAAAGAGACAGTGGAAGATGACACGGTATGTGTGTGTGTGTGTGTGTGTGTGTGTGTGTGTGTGTGTGTGTGTGTGTGTGTGTGTGTGTGTGGGTGTTTGTGTTGCATGATAGGTGCGTGTATACCCTAAACCTTCCACCCTAGAAGCCTTACACCATAAAGCCCAAACATCCGCCTGTGGCGGAGTTGAAAGAGACTGTTGAGGTGTTGGTGTTGCATAGTAGGTGTGCGTGTATACCCTAAAACCTCCACCCTAACCCCAAACATCCGCATGTGGTGGGGACCTCTGAAATCACATCAAGCAGTCAAGACGACCTGTTTTCCCTCCTACTCTCCTTCCCCAATCCCCCCACACCACCCCCCTCCCCCCCCCCACAAGCAGCACGTGCACATAATCATGGAGCTCTGCAAGGGCGGGGACCTCTTTGACCGCATGAAGCAGCGAGTTGACTTTTGAGTCAACTCAAAAGTACCCCCAACACCCACCCCCCCCTTCTCCCCCCCCCTCTCCTCTCCCCCCCCACAAGCAGCACGTGCACATAATCATGGAGCTCTGCAAGGGAGGGGACCTCTTTGACCGCATCAAGCAGCGCAGCCGCTACGAGGAGAAACCCGCAGCGGCGGTGCTGCAGCAGTTGAGTCTGGTGCTGCGGGCGTGCCACTCCCTGGGGGTCATGCACCGCGATGTGAAGCCCGAGAACCTGCTGCTCTGCTCGCCCACTGATGATGTCGCTGTCAAGGTCACGGATTTTGGGATTGCTGCTACAATCAAATCAGGTGAGGCATTGGGTTGAGAGCATTGGGGATTGAGCATTGGGATTGCCCTCACCGTCTCTTTCACATGGCAGCACCCTTTTCTCACTCGCTCCTCACCCAACCCCCTTTCCATCCCTTTCTTGTTCCTCCCTCCCTTCTTGTTCCTTCCCCGTCCTTCTCCTCCCTCCCCCCTCCCAGGCGCCAAGCTAACAGAGTTCATAGGGTCCCACATGTACATGGCACCAGAAGTGATCAACAAGAGCTACAGTGCCGAGGCCGACGTCTGGTCGGCGGGAGTTGTCCTATACGTGCTTCTGGCCGGTGTGCCGCCCTTCTGGGCCTCCACAGAATCCGGAGTGCTGGATGCAATTGTATCCAAGCCTCTCAACTTCTCTTTCCCTCCATGGCCGTCCATTTCCACGGAGGCGAAGGACCTTATAAAAGAGATGCTTAAGAAAGAGCCGGCGGAGAGAATCACACTGGACGCTGTTCTGGGTGAGTTCCCCTTTTGCTAAGCACGTCTGCTCTGTTATTGACCACTCCTTTAGCAAAGTTTCTCCATCATTCAACCACCTTCTAGGCATGGGTAACTCTAGGTTTACCTATCCCTGAGCACTGCTTCTCATAGTTTACATACCCTCAAGCTCGCAACTCCTCGTCATCGTTTTTCACTCCGTTGTCTTCCCAACTTTTCCAACGCTCACCTTTTTCCTACCTCTCCCCCTCTATTTCTTCCCTCTCTTTTTCCCCCCGTCACGACAGTTCCCCTCTCTCCATACGTACGCCCCATGCTTTCCCATTTCAGAGCATCCGTGGATCAAGACTCATACTGCACACCCGTGATACCCTGTCCATTCTTTTTTTTGAGTCAACTAAAAAATCCACCACAATTCCCCTCTCCATACATACACCGCATGGCCCCCCATTTCAGAGCATCCGTGGATCAAGACTCATACTGCACACTCGTGATCCCTGCCCATTCACTTGTCCGCACTTTGTGTTACTTGCAACCCTGTGTATTTATATATGTCGGTTGGCACAGCAATTGTTTTTAGTAAGCCCCACTGCCCCAAACCCCCAAACTTCCCCCTCCTCCCCTCTCCCCCCTCCACCAAACTCCTCCGTGTATAGGAAACCCCTAGTTGTTTGGTGTGTTTGTAAGGCTGAGGCATCATGTATAAGTTTGGAGACATTTGCGCTGTCACGCATTCTGGTTCTTGAAATATATGCGCTAGCTTGTAGGGGTCTTCCTTGTTGGAAACAGTTAATTAAAACCGAAATGCAAAATAGTGAACCCGTCTCCAGCTTGAAAGAGAGCTTGTCGACCGAAACAATTTTCGAAACCAAACCGACAAGTTTGCACTGTTTCATTGAGAGCGCTTGAACAGATCGAACAAATCTGATTGGTTCCCGCCAAAACCGGAAAAGGGAACACAGCACGTCAGGCGTCGCATCTCTGTTTGGGGAGCCGCAGGGCAGAAGCACTGCGATCGTTTTGTCACGTCCCTGCGATTTTTTGCCCACCTTGTGGTTCAAGTTGGGCATGGGTGAAGTACTACTACTTCGTCCGTTCAGTTTTTCGTGCTTCTTAGTTTTTAGTTGCTTGTCTAGCCATACAGCCCTAACTTAGGTTGTTGTTACCGCAACTTAGGCGCGTAGTGATTATATGTCATGATTGCGCAGTAATTGTGCCGTTTAGATTGCTCTTTCGCCGCCTTCCTATCCCGCCTCACTCGTCCTCCCGACTCACTCGTCCTCGCGCCGTCCGTCCCGACGCCGCCCAGTCGCCTGAATTGTCGCCTCCATCGACGTCGCCCTCGCTATCTCCCGTCGCGGCCCTCCCCTCAGTTCGCGTCGCCACGCTATCTCTCCCCTCCCCTCCCATCGCCTTTCCTCTCCTCGCCTTTCCTTTCCCGTTGCCATTCCTCCGTCGCTTTCCTCTCCCTTCGCCTTTCCTCTCCCGTTGCCCTTCCTCTCCCGTCGCTTTCCTCTCCCACCGCCCTTCCTTCTCTCCCACCGCCCTTCCTTCTCTCCCACCGCCCTTCCTTCTCTCCCGTTGCCCTTCCTCTCCCGTCGCTTTCCTCTCCCGCCGCCCTTCTTTCTCTCCCGCCGCCCTTCCTTCTCTCCCGTCACCCTTCTCTCCCGTCGCCTTTCTCTCCCGTTGCCCTTCCTACTCTCCCGTCGCCCTTCCTACTCTTCCGTCGCCCTTCCTACTCTCCCGTCGCCCTTCCTCTCTCCCGTCGCCCTTCCTCTCTCCCGTCGCCTATTCTCTCTCCCGCCGCCCTTCCTCCCTCCCGTCGCCCTTCCTCTCTCCCGTCGCCCTTTCTTTCTCCCGTCTCCTATCCTCTCTCCCGTCACCCGTCTTCTCTCCCGTCGCCCCTCCCCTCCCGTCTTCCTCTCTTCCGTCGCCCTTCATCTCTCCCGCCCCATCACCAACCTCGGCGCCTTCGCGCTCGCCCCGAAATGCCTGCCCGTCGCCCCGTCGCCCCGTAATCGTCGGCCCCTCTCGCTTTTCCCTCGCAGCGTTACTCTCCCCGTCACATATGCCCTCGCGGCACCCTCATCGCCGCCTTCCCATTACCTACCTCGTTGCCCTCTCTCTCTCCCCATCACCCTTTTTCTCTCCGTTCGTATCACCCCTCTTATCACCCTCACACTCTTCCCTCACATCGTCCGTCACCATCGCGTCATCCTTTCTCTCTCCCCTCACATCACCCTCCTTGTCGCCGTCGCCCTCGCCTCAAATCGCCCTTCCTCTCTCCCTTCGCATCACCCACGTCATAGCCCTGTCGCCCCCCAAATCGTCCCCTCTCCCTCTCGTCCCGTCGCCCAATTTCTCCTCCCATCACCCACCTCGTCGCCTTCGCGCTCGCTCTCAAACGCCCTCCCCGCGCCCTTCTTCTCTCCCTTCGCATTACCCACCTCGTGGTCCTCATGCTCGCCGCGAACTGCCCACCCGTCGCCTTTCGTTTCTCCCCCCCATCACCCATCTCTGAAACGCCCTCCAGTCGCCCTATCTCTTTCTTCTCTCGTCACCTTGAAACTCTCTGTTTTTCCCCTTCTTCCGTTTTTCCTATGCTGTTTTTGCCGCCATAGCAGGTAATTGTCTATGGCGTTTGCTGTGCGTGAATTGCACATGCCACAATCTGTGAATTTGACACTGGAATGTGAATGGGACTTGCATGTCGCAAACTTGCGACACATTGCACTTCTGCGTGCATTGCACATTCTTGCGACGATTTTTGTTTGACGATATCTGTGAAGACCCGAACAGTATCAAACGCGTTTGAAACGGAAAAAAAAACATAACATTTCCAACTTTCCAGCGGTATACATTTGGCAGGGCCAGTGCCAAAAGTTTATAAAAGGTACATGGTGGTTACCGAATTACAAGCCCACCCAACCTCTCTCTCGAGAAACGAGGGGCCCCCAACTCCTCCCAGCTCACTCGACTGTCAAAAGTTTATAGATGGCAAAAGTATACTATTTCGTTTCCCCCGCAGGAGCTCACTCACGTAGCGTTCTTAGCGTGCGCTACTAGAACAGTCCTACCCACACCGTTGAAATTCGGAGCTTAGGGTTACGTCGTACACCGAAGGTTGCGCTGGCGCCAGCGTTAGCCGAATACGCATTCATTCGTCCGTCGCCGCTGCGTCGCCGTGTAGCTTCACCGCACTGTACGTAGAAATCCCGTTGCCTTCCCACGCAGCCTAGAGTCGATCTCTGTTGCGTAATCCAGCCGCCGCAAATCGCCTTTGCATCGAGCCCCTAGTAGCGTCCTTGCTGCCTCGTGCTCGCCTCAAAGCCCGTCGCGGCGTCGCCTCGCCACAAATCCGCTCGCGGCGTCGCCTCGCCGCAAATCCGCTCGCGGCGTCGCATCGCCGCAAATCCGCTTGCGGCGTCGCATCGCCGCAAATCCGCTTGCGTCGCATCGCCGCAAATCTGCTTGCGTCGTCGCATCGCCGCAAATCCGCTTGCGGCGTCGCATCGCCGCAAATCCGCACGCGGTGTTGCCTCGCTGTAAATCCCCGCGTCCCATCTCGTAACACCACGCGGAGTCGCATCGACGCAAATCCGCTCGCGGCGTCACCTATCCGCAAATCCGCTCGTGGATTCGCGCCGCAAATCCGCTCGCAGCGGCGCCTCGCCGCCCCACGCTACCTCCTCACGCCACCGCGATCACGCGGGCCGCGCCACACACTGCGGGCCCTCGTGCGCCTCCCAATATCTTCAGTCCGCTGCCCTCTCCCAATTTACGGCCTCCCGATCTCCCATTACCGCCTCCCATTCTCCCCTTCAAACCTCCCCTTCTCCCCTTACCGCCTCCCTGCATCCACACCTCCTCTCACTGCATCCCCATCTCCCCTCTCTGCATCCCCATGTCCCCATTACCTCCCCATCCAACCCCATTCCGCCACATCCCTACCCGCATCTCCGCTTCCCTCCCTTCCCTGCCTTCCCTGCCTTCCCTGCCTTCTCTCCCTTTCATCTCTTCCCTCCCATCCTTCCCTTCCGTCCCGTCCCTCCCGTCCCTCCCTTCTCTCCCTGCCCTCCCATCTCTCCCTGCGCTCCCTGCCCTCCCTTCCCTTCCTTCCCTCCCTTCTCTCCCTTCCCTCCCTTCTCTCCCTTCCCTCCCTTCTCTCACTTCCCGCCCTTCTCTCCCTTCCCTCCCTTCTCTCCCTTCCCGCCCTTCAGTCCCTTCCGTCCCCTCCCTCCCTCCCTCCCTTCCCTCCCTTCCCTCCCTTCACTCCCTTCCCTCCCTTCTCTCCCTTCCCTCCCTTCTGTCCCTTCCCTCCCCCCCTACCTTCCCTCCCTTCTCTCCCTTCCCTCCCCCCCTACCTTCCCTCCCTTTTCTCCCTTCCCTCTCATCCCTCCTTGCAATCTCCTGTCTCTCCTTTCCCTATCTTTTCTCCTCGTCCCGCCTCTTATTCTCCCATCCCGCCTTCCCTTCTCCTCGTCCCGCCTCCCAATCTCCACGTCCCACCCTCCCTTCTCCTCGTTCCGCATTCCACATGTCCCCTTCATGCCTCCCATCACCTGTACCATCACCTCTCCCTGCCTTCCCATCTCCCCTTCACGCCTACCATCACCTCTCCCTGCCTTCCCATCTCCCCTTCACGCCTTCCATCACCTCTCCCTGCCTTCCCATCTACCCTTCACGCCTACCATCACCTCTCCCTGCCTTCCCATCTCCCCTTCACGCCTACCATCACCTCTCCCTGCCTTCCCATCTCCCCTTCACGCCTACCATCACCTCTCCCTGCCTTCCCATCTCCCCTTCACGCCTACCATCACCTCTCCCTGCCTTCCCATCTCCCCTTCACGCCTTCCATCACCTCTCCCTGCCTTCCCATCTACCCTTCACGCCTACCATCACCTCTCCCTGCCTTCCCATCTCCCCTTCACGCCTACCATCACCTCTCCCTGCCTTCCCATCTCCCCTTCACGCCTACCATCACCTCTCCCTGCCTTCCCATCTCCCCTTCACGCCTACCATCACCTCTCCCTGCCTTCCCATCTCCCCTTCACGCCTACCATCACCTCTCCCTGCCTTCCCATCTCCCCTTCACGCCTACCATCACCTCTCCCTGCCTTCCCATCTCCCCTTCACGCCTACCATCACCTCTCCCTGCCTTCCCATCTCCCCTTCACGCCTACCATCACCTCTCCCTGCCTTCCCATCTACCCTTCACGCCTACCATCACCTCTCCCTGCCTTCCCATCTCCCCTTCACGCCTACCATCATCTCTCCCTGCCTTCCCATCTCCCCTTCACGCCTACCATCACCTCTCCCTGCCTTCCCATCTCCCCTTCACGCCTACCATCACCTCTCCCTGCCTTCCCATCTCCCCTTCACGCCTACCATCACCTCTCCCTGCCTTCCCATCTCCCCTTCACGCCTTCCATCACCTCTCCCTGCCTTCCCATCTACCCTTCACGCCTACCATCACCTCTCCCTGCCTTCCCATCTCCCCTTCACGCCTACCATCACCTCTCCCTGCCTTCCCATCTCCCCTTCACGCCTACCATCACCTCTCCCTGCCTTCCCATCTCCCCTTCACGCCTACCATCACCTCTCCCTGCCTTCCCATCTCCCCTTCACGCCTACCATCACCTCTCCCTGCCTTCCCATCTCCCCTTCACGCCTTCCATCACCTCTCCCTGCCTTCCCATCTACCCTTCACGCCTACCATCACCTCTCCCTGCCTTCCCATCTCCCCTTCACGCCTACCATCATCTCTCCCTGCCTTCCCATCTCCCCTTCACGCCTACCATCACCTCTCCCTGCCTTCCCATCTCCCCTTCACGCCTACCATCACCTCTCCCTGCCTTCCCATCTCCCCTTCACGCCTACCATCACCTCTCCCTGCCTTCCCATCTCCCCTTCACGCCTACCATCACCTCTCCCTGCCTTCCCATCTCCCCTTCACGCCTACCATCACCTCTCCCTGCCTTCCCATCTCCCCTTCACGCCTACCATCACCTCTCCCTGCCTTCCCATCTCCCCTTCACGCCTACCATCACCTCTCCCTGCCTTCCCATCTCCCCTTCACGCCTACCATCACCTCTCCCTGCCTTCCCATCTCCCCTTCACGCCTCCCATCACCTCTCCCTGCCTTCCCATCTCCCCTTCACGCCTACCATCACCTCTCCCTGCCTTCCCATCTCCCCTTCACGCCTACCATCACCTCTCCCTGCCTTCCCGTCTCCCCTTCACGCCTACCATCACCTCTCCCTACCTTCCCGTCTCCCCTTCACGCCTCCTATCGCATCCATTCTCATTCAGCCCCATCCTCATGTCACCATTTTGCCTCCTTCCATCCCCCACCTCACCCACCTACTCCCATCTCATCTCCCTTCCCCCTACCACCTACTCCCATCTCATCTCCCTTCCCCCTACCACCTACTCCCATCTCATCTCCCCTCCCCCTACCAGTACTCCCATCTCATCTCCCCTCCCCCTACCACCTCCTGCCCCTATCAGGCACTCCTTGCTCACCTCCCCTCCCCCTACCAGGGGCATTCTTCGTCCCACACTAGTTTCATGCTCATCTCATACAGCCCTCACATTGCATTCCCTTGCTCAATCTCTGTGCTTGTGTTGCAGGTGGGGTGCCTCCCCCTCCACACATCCTACCACCTGCGCCAGTCCCCACACATCAAAGCCACCTCTCCGCTACATCCCACACTATCTTCATTCTCGTCTCCAACTGCCCTCACATTACATTCCCTTGATCGGTTTCTGTGCCTGTGTTGCAGGTGGGGTGCTTTCCAACTGCACGTCTTACTGTCTGCGCCTCACAAGCAACCTAAGTGTCAGCAACCTGGGCATGGATAGGCAGCAATGACAATGTGAATGGCAGGGGAGCGTGGCAACGGCCACGATCGAAGCAGCTAGCCTCTTGGTCACTCGGCCCGTCCTCGGCTGATCCAAGCATCCAATCTGCCGCCTTGAACATTAGCACATACCGTAAACACACCTTTTCTCTTCCCCTTGTAGGTATTTCTTACTGACCCAACAAATTGTATGATCAAACGCTTGTTTCAGTGTTTTTTACCAACTGGTTATTGACCGCCTTGTTCTGTGACATCATTACAAGTTGCAAACATCCCCAGTTTTATAGCATGTACTGTACCATACCACAGTATGTATTCAAAGCAGTTTGGTTACAAGTAAAAGCACAGAGCAATCCATGCATACGGTACTAACTTCGTGACTCCCGATCGGTCATATGTGCAGCTAACTTCTACTTGTAGGCGACGCGGAAAATGTGACGGTGCTGGCAGGCAATGGGGAGGATAGGCGAGCGAGGAAAGGGTTTATGCAGGGTGGGGTGAGGATGGGTGGGGTGAGGATGGATGGGGTGAGGATGGGTGGGGTGAGGATGGATGGGGTGAGGATGGGTGGGGTGAGGATGGATGGGGTGAGGATGGGTGGGATGAGGATGGATGGGGTGAGGATGGGTGGGGTGAGGATGGATGGGGTGAGGATGGATGGGGTGAGGATGGGTGGGGTGAGGATGGATGGGGTGAGGATGGATGGGGTGAGGATGGGTGGGGTGAGGATGGATGGGTGAGGATGATGGAAGGAGGGGAAGCAGGGGCGGAAAGGAGGAAAATGAGGGAGGGAAAGGAGGGGACGCAGGGGGGGAAAGGAGGGGATACAGAGGGGGGGGGGGGTGCGGGGAAAGGAGGGGAAACAGGGGGCCTGCAGGGGGAAACATGGGGCCTGCAGGGGGGAAACAGGGGGCCTGCAGGGGGGAAACAGGGGGCCTGCAGGGGGGAAACAGGGGGCCTGCAGGGGGAAACATGGGGACTGCAGGGGGGAACTTGGGGATAGCTCGGGGAAATTTTGTGGATAGCTTGGGGGAATCTTGGGGATAGCTCGGGGAATTATGGGGATAGTGGCAGCATGAAACATGGGGCCAGCATTAGGGGGGAAACATGGGGATAGAATGGGGAAAAACATGAGGCATGGGAGGGAAAACGGGGGAATGCGGAAGCTTACATGCGGAAGGGGAAATGCGGGAATGCGGAAGGGGGAATGCGCGGGGGGATCGAGTGCACGCGGGGGCAGCGAATGCGCGCTGGGAGAGCGTGTGCGCGCGGGGGGAGTGGGTGTGGGCGCTGGGGGAGCGAGTGCGCGCGGGGGGAGCGAGTGCGCGCGGGGGGAGCGAGTGCGCGCGGGCGGGAGCGAGTGCGCGCGGGGGGAGCGAGTGCGCGCGGGGGTCGCGATTGCGCGTGGGGGCCGCGATTGCGCGCGGAGGGAGCAAATGCGCGTTGGGGGAGTGAGTTTTGCGGGCCGCGGAATGCCCTTCACGGCGAAAGGGGAAGGGCGATTTCGGCGAATGCTTGTCGACGGACCCGCGGAATGTTCAACGGCGCGCCCAACTATAAGGGGGACGACGTGCTCGCCGAATGCAACGCGGCGGCCTGGATGAGTGTGTAGAATGCGGTCGTTTAGTTAACCCTTATCTTTAGTTTATGCGAACTCACGAGATGGTATAGTGGCCTTGATGTCTAGTCTGCCGGCCCAAGCACTTCTCTAGTGTGCGAGTCTAGGGGTAGACTAATAGAAGCTAATTAGCTAATTCATACCCTGGCACCAATACTTGGTGAGTGCCTCTCTTTTGTGCAGACACAATTCTCTCCAAGTGGTGGAGGGGCTCGGACTTTTCGCCAACTCTCTCGCCAAGCTGTTTCACTCTCGCTAGGGCGAAATCATTTTGGGTACTGTAGTCATTCCAACAGTACTGCCAAATGTATACTGCTGCTTTAAGACTTCAAGTGGACCCAACTAGAAGGGGGGGGTCACTATTTTAGCTGCGGGCTTTAAACGCTTCTTATGTGTCGTAACACCGAACTACAAACGAGGCGAATTACAGAGGAACAACGGCGAGTCAACCATCGGAGGTTGACAAGAGAAGTAACTGCTGGAGGTTACGCGAAGGTCAAAGGTCAGCGGCCTTTGACTTGGCAAATACAGCGCGACAGCAAGAACAAACAACTGACTCGATACTGAGCAGTTGCCCGAGTCGTCACTGTATCGAACCGCAACAGCAACAGTAAAACAGTTATTAGTTGCACCCTTTCATATTCCTTGTAATCTTATAAAGACTTGTATTACTTTTCTATAATCAATCTATCTTGCCCTCACATACCAGTATACTAGCGCAAGGTGGTTCAACACTTGTTACTAAACGCTTCCGCAACTATAACACTTCTACCCAGAGTTTAGCCTTGAAAGATCCTAAGGGCTTTTCTCAGCCCAACATTCCTAACCCCAGCATTGTTCGTAAGCTTTCCAATCGCAAATTTGCCTGCCCGATTGTATGAAGGCGTGCACACGATAGCTCTTTTGTCCGAGAAATGTTTGTCTGGCACTGATACTACCGTGCAACATGCATATGACCATTAGCTTCCTTTTTACCCCCCTCCTATTTGTGCCCAAAGGCATTTCATATGTTAGAGTCCTTGAAAACATGGGTAAGCTAGAGGAGTGAAGCTATCAAGGCCCATTGATGCAACTCACTGTACATGTTGTGTGCAACACATGTATTTGTGTGTATTATTAATTCTTGAACGAAGTGATCACCTACTTGCTTTCCCAAGTAAGATCCTCTGAAAACAACACTTACAAGGAACACGTGTAGCATTGTGAACGTTATTAAGTATAGCTATGTTGCATTATCACCTGCATCTAGACCTGACGAGAGCAGAGATTGGAAGGCAAGGCAAGACGGAAGTCTCTTACGAAATCGTGGACTGAACCTGTAAAGTGGACTTTCAAGAAGGAAGGAAAGCTGGCGGCGGTTCTTGACCGGTACAACAAGTCTCTGGTCAAGGAGGATGCGATTCTCGGCACCTGGCGTAATTGGGTGTGACGACGTTCGCAGTTGGCAATCACCGTTTCGTTATCGCTTTCTCCGACTGCGATGCGTTCGTCGGATAAGTGTCCAGCCACTTCGTGTAATAGCTCGCAGGGATTCGTCCATCGTGCATTTACATTGCGTCGCACATATCGATGACGACGTCGTAAATATCGCAACGCGGACTGTGTACAGTGCGCTGCGAGACTTCGCGCTGCGAACTGCTGTCGTGCGAAATTGCCAGCTTGCAACGCTTTCCGCTCAAGCCTCCTCTCCATCTGGCTCACATCGCAAGCTCGTGGAAGAAATTTGATTCCAATATTGCTGCGCTTGCGTTAGGGGGGCTTCAACAAGCCGACACAGAAAATCTCCACCACGATGCCTCAACAGCAGCAGACAGCCCTCTTTTTTCAGGTTTTTAGTTTATCGAGAAGCACTACTGGACAAAATTCGCTCCGAAGGTTCTGTTAGCGCTGCCAGGGAACAGTTACGTGCATTTTCAATCTGAGCGCGTTTCAATGCTGGTTAGGAATTCGAAATGTGATCGGTAAAAAAATGACACAGAATTTGATTGGAGAAGTATCAACCCTAGACACCATGTGGCAAGGTGTTTAGGGTTTATCCCTCCCAAAAATACGTCCGGAAAACTATATACCCTAACGGGAAAGGGATCCCGTGTTTAGGGTTGATCCCTCCCAAAAATGCGCTGGAAAAAATAAATTACCCCGATGGGAAAGCATAAACCCTAAACGCCTTCCCGCATGGTGTTTAGGGTTGATGACTCCCTGAATGGCATACCACCTGAGAGGGTATATTGTTCTTTTTTTCCCGAAAAAATGAAGTCCACCGGTCGACATGGACGACGACCGTCTATACGGACGATCATCGTCTGTTTGTTAACTGTTTTGTCCAATCAAGGCTGGATTTCCTAACGAGCGTAATAAGTGAACGCTCTCAGATTGGAAATCCACGGAACTAATCCCCAGCAGCGCTAACAGTGCCTTCAGAGCAAACTTTGTCCGGTAGTACTTCTCGATAAACTAAAAACCCTCTTTTTTCCCACAGCAACGCATATCAACTACCCTCCCTTCCTCCCTCCTCTCCACCCCGTCCCCCACACTTTGAACACTCTTCGATGGCCTTTCTTCCCCCTGTCTCCCTTTTCCCTCCAAAGAAACCCAAATGGCACCTCTTCCCCACTGCCTCTGCCCTGCCTCGCCTTCAGATTCTGGGCCACGCAGCCGCCAGCTGTTACAGCTCGGAGTAGCTCAAATTGGTGCTGAGAGGGACCGTCGCCCTCGTGGCTAACTGACTGTTGTCCATTGATGTTGTTTGATATAATTTCCACATACAGTGTATCCACCTGCGCAGCCAGCAACCACTATTAGCTATGAATGGCAGGACTGAGGAATTCTTTTCACGCGCAGTGTTCCGCGTTCCTGCAGTCGATTTACGAGGCGCTTCGCGGCGACGAGTCACGGGATACGTCACGAGTGAGAGAAAAACAAAAATTCTCATCGCCGCGCACCGCCGCGCGTTGCCACTCGCGGAGCAGCCTCTCTTCTCACCCCCCGCCGGCCTCCTTTTCCAGATTTCCAGGCAACAGTGTTTATATTACCCCCTCGTATCCGCAAGGCCAGGCCGTGGCTTCTTTCCGGAAACCAGCAGCAGCCTAATATTATTCAGCGCCCTGCCCCCTCCCACGCACCGTCCAGCAAGTTAGTACTGACATATACTACAAGGCGAAGCATTTCCACGAAACATTTCAGAATCATCACCCGGTGTGCATAGTCCCAGAACCCAGCGCTACCAATTCCCGCCGTCGATCGCGGCACAGCACTCATCGCGCCGGCGATCGCCCGTAGATCACGCGACTATCCCGCGGCGCGTGGCCTCATCATGGCTCCGACATCTGCCGTCCGTGCCCTGTCTAGCAGTTCTAGCACCGAAAACTGCGCCGCTTCCATCGCCGTTACCTCCCACTCGGAGTGGCACTCCAAGCGGCACTCGGAGTTCGCGGCTCGTCGAAATGCGCGGTCCGAACGAGAGACGACGCCTTTTGACACGTCTGAAAGGTGTGAGACGCCATGGGCCCCGGACGTCCCCGGGCCGCCACCGCCGTCACGGCGATCGCTTTCCCCCAGCGCCTCAACGAACGACTCGTCTCCGAATGATATGTCGGAGTCTTCAGATGATTCTCCAATCGAGTTCCCTATTGAGTCATTCTGCGACTCGACAACGGCTGCTACCACAGCAAGTGGCAGCACCATCATGCCGGCCCTACCTCCGTTGCCGGCTGGACCTTCGGGCTTCACTCCCGCGATGCGTCTTCTCGGCGGGTCAGACCCGAGTGGTCTCAACTGGTCCTCGGAAGATTTTTTTGGCAGACTTGGCGGGTCTTGTCTGGTTCAGAACCCGAACGCGCCGCGGAAAGAGCCGGAAAAAACGATGGGAAAGGTGGCGGGGAAGGCTGCGAATCATAATGCGTCGCGAGAAATTTATTCTGGGACTGCCGTCCCGGGTGCTCCAACGAACCTCAAGAGCCCGCGGAAAGGCGGCGCTCTCAAAGACGGTCAGCCGGTGCAAAGCGCGCCGAGTCTTGCAGCCCTGACGACACCTGCTACGACTCGTGCGACGCGTGCGGCAGCTGCGACAGCTGCGACTGATCGTCGGCGACGAGCGGTGAGCGTTGGAGGCGACCTCGACGGCGACCTGGGCCGTGCTGTCGCCTGCGACGTCGCAATGTCGCCTCTCTTTCGTCTCGGTGCCGCTACCACCACGAACAGACCTTCAACTTGCCGCGTACCTACAAGCAGCAGTCATACCAGTGCTACTCGTACTACTGTCTACTATTCTCACGCTACTATGAGCCGCGATACTACCAGTAGGTCTGGTGGCGCATCTCCTGCCGCCGCTATCTCCCCGCCTCCTTCCTCGAGCTTTCCTGCGACTTCCGTGTTCCTCCCGGCCTTGCTGCTACTGGGAGTCGATCTGAGCGACGACCCCGACGACAGGGAGCAGGTCGTCGCACAGGGGCTCGCCCACGACCAGGCGAAGGCGGCGCAGGGCCGCAGGCACCGTCGCACGGGGAGCCTGGATACGATGCTGCTGGCGAAACCGGGGGTCGCCAGCGGGAAAGGCGTGAGTTCCGTCAAGTCAATTGGGGATGGTACTACGACCACTCGCCGTACTACTGGTAACAGTGGCACCATTACTGCTCGTAGCGCGGCGGCGATTGAGGCGGGCAGCATGGCAGGAGGCTCTAAGAAGGACGACGCGATCCCAGGGGAAGCCACGCCTTTCTCAGCCACGTCGGTTTCAGAGGAAAGCGACACCAGCAGCAGCAGCAGTAGCAGCAGCCGCCATGACCCCACAGGCTTTAAGGGCTTTCAGCCCGTTCCCACAACCGCTCAGCCTGCCGCTGGCTCACCAAAGCCAGTAGTCTTCGGTTCTGCGCGGTTCAGTGAGTCCTCCGGCCTCAAGGGCTTCAAGCCTGCGTTCCTGCGACTCGGGGACGATCTGGGCGACGACCCAGACGACTGGGATTGGCTCGCAGGCGGGCAGCAGCAGACGTGGAGCAATCCTGGCGGTCCGTTGAAGAGAGATGCTTGCAGAGATGATGACAGCAGCGTCGCTCCAGCCGGCCCCTTCGGCCGTCTTGCCCCCGCCATCGCTGCCCCCACTACCACCGCCGCCGCCGCCACCGTGCCTGCTCTTCCACCGCGATCCTTAAAACCCGTTGCTGGTCCGGTTGCTGGTAGTAGCAGTAGCCACTACGAGGGCCAGCAGCAGCGGCAGGGGCAGGGGCAGCAGCGGCGGCGGCAGCAGCAGCACCGCCGAACGCACTCGTGCGACGGCAGCTTGCAGCACGCCATGGCACCGTTGTTTGAGGCGCCTCAAAAGTCGTTCTTGCAGCACCCCACGGCGCCGTCGGTAACCTTCTCAGGCACTGCAGGCTCTGAAACTTTCGAAGGCTCTAATGCGTTTGTGGGGTTGAAAAGGTTGTCTTTTGATCAATCCCATGAGCTATCGCCCGGGCTATCCTCTGTGTCGCCTCTCCGAATCATCCCCCCTGCGCACCCGCCCTGCTCCACCCCTTCTGCAAGGTCTTGGGGCGCCGGAAGTTTCTTTTCTGGGAAGTTTTGGGCAGGGGCGCGTGGAGCAGGGGTGAGGGCATGTGAAGAGACAGGGGCTTGAGAATGAGCTCGTGAATGGGTCCGAGAAAGGGCATGGAGAAGGGAAGGAGGGGCGAGGGATTGGAGAGGAACGGGTGAGGCATAAGGAGAAGATAGGGGATTACAGAATGTCGTGTTCTGGGGAACTCCCATCTGCATACCTGTTGGCCCTGTTGACCAAGAGTATGTTGATCTAGCTGTTGACCCCGTTGACCCTGTTGACACCGTTGACCCCGTTGACCCTGTTGACACTGTTGACCCCGTTGACCCAATCGGTCCTGATGCTGGTGCTGCAGCTGCAGGCTCATTCGACTTGGGTACATCGTCTTTTTGCAGCAGAGGTACGGCTGCTGCTGCTACTTATCTTGCTGCTGCTGCTGCTCATGCTGTGGCTGCTGGGTTTCCTCTTGACAGCCTTCGATCAAGTGGTTTGTCGAGCTCAAGGCATGAAGGGAATCAATGGCAAGGGCAATGGAAGCAGGGGAACGAGGTGCTCTGAGTATTGCCAAAGTCATAGGTGTGATGGTTCCAAGAGTAGACAGCATGAAGGCTCATTGAAAGAGCATTGGTGAGGCATGGCTTATTAAGATGGCAGGTAATTCGGTAACCAGACCCGATCGGCAAGGCATTAGCGGTACGGTCTCAGTATGCCTAGGAAAGGCACTTGCAGTCAACTTAGTAGCAATTGCTGTTTCCATTTTTCCTGTACTGTTTTTGGGTGTCGTGCTGAAGTGGTGCCACTTAGGGGTTTAGAGTGCAGTGTAGTCCACATTCGTTTGAGGGGTTGTGAAATGTGCAGCACTGGTTTTTATATTGGTGCACTGCGTCAGACAAGAAGTTAGGGCGTATTCCTACGGCCTCCTATCAAGACCACCTCCTATCAAGATTGTACCTTTTGCCTGCTGAAAGTGGCGAGAGAGTTTGGGTTTAGGGAATCTTTCAGTGTGTGCTTGATAAGAGGTTCTCTTGATAGGAGGATAGGAATACGCCCTTAACCTGATAAGGGACCGTAGGAACACGCTTTAAGGTGTACAGAATTGTAAGAATCATACTACAGTAACGGCAGCCTAGTACAGTTGTGTAGTGTGTGCCTTGATCCATGGATGCTCTGAGGGATGAGATGAGAGGGAAGGGCACACGGATGGGGAAGAAGAGGGGATGGGACGTAGGGTGGGGAGGGAAGAAACGTAGGGGGAAAGGGGTAGGGGTTGGAACTAGGGAGGTAAAGGAAGAAAAGGAAGTGGGGGTGTGTGCTGGACACATTGACAAAGAGACAGGACGGATAGGAGATGTGAAAGCTAGAATAAGACGTTTGGATTGACTGAAAAGGAGTGTTGAGGGAGTGACATGACGGGGGGCGAGAACAGGATGAGGGGGAGAAGTTGAGCAGAGAAAGGAAAGGGTTGGGCGGAACACTACTTAGGGGAAGGCAACACGTACCAAGCACAGAATCCAGTGTGATTCTTTCCGCCGGCTCTTTCTTAAGCATCCCTTTTATAAGATCCTTTGCCTTGGAGGATATGGAAGGCCATGGAGGGAAGGAGAAGTTGAGAGGCTTGGATACGATTGCATCCAGCACCCCGGATTCTGTCGAGGCCCAGAAGGGCGGCACGCCAGCCAGAAGCACGTATAGGACGACTCCCGCCGACCAGACGTCGGCCTCGGCACTGTAGCTCTTGTTGATCACTTCTGGTGCCATGTACATGTGGGAACCTATGAACTCTATTAGCTTGATGCCTGGGGGAGGAAAGAGGAGAAAGGGGCCGAGGCACAGAGATGACTTTTGAGTCGACTCAAAAGTCACTTGGAAAGAGGAGAAAGGGGCGGAGGGACAGAGATGACTTTTGAGTCGACTCAAAAGTCACTTGGAAAGAGGAGAAAGGGGCCGAGGGACAGAGATGACTTTTGAGTCGACTCAAAAGTTACTTGGAAAGAGGAGAAAGGGGCCGAGGGACAGAGAGAGCGGGAAGGGGAAGGGATGGAATGAGAATTGGAATAAGCCTAGGCTTGTGGAGCCATGTACATGTGGGACCCTATGAACTCCGTGAGCTTGGTGCCTGGGAGAGGAAAGAGGGAAGGGGTCAGAGGGAGGGGGGCAGGATGAACAGGAAGAAAAGGAGGCTAATCACGATGCTTCCAAGGCAAGAGTTGTTGGTCTGGTGGCGTGCACGTGTGAGAGCAGGAAGTGGAAGGGAAGGGAGAAGACGGAGACAGGGAGGGGAGCAGAACAAATTGTCGGCCTGCCAACATGAGAAGCATCACAGAGCCTGCTGCGGTGCATCTTGCATCACAGACGCACCCCCAGGTGCATCTTGCTCATTCTCTGAAACCACACTGCACCCGCAGCACCAGTACCAATCAGCACCACCAGCACCTTCCAGCCTCACCCCACCGACCCACCTGACTTGATCGGCGCAGCAATCCCAGAGTCCGTGACCTTGACAGCGACGTCATTTCGAGACGTCTCAGAAATCCCAGAGTCCTTGACAGCGACGTCATTTTAGACGTCTCAGAAATCCCAAAGTCCATGACCTTGACAGCGACGTCATCAGTGGGCGAGCAGAGCAGCAGGTTCTCGGGCTTCACATCGCGGTGCATGACTTTCAGGGAGTGGCACGCCTGCAGCACCCCCTTCACATCCCGATGCACGCCTTTCAAATTCACCTCATGTTTTGAGTCGACTCAAAACACGACTCAAAACTTGAGTCGACTCAAAACACGACTCAAAACTTGAGTCGACTCAAAACACGACTCAAAACTTGAGTCGACTCAAAACACGACTCAAAACTTGAGTCGACTCAAAACACGACTCAAAACTTGAGTCGACTCAAAACACGACTCAAAACTTGAGTCGACTCAAAACATGACTCAAAACTTGAGTCGACTCAAAACACGACTCAAAACTGCAGCTGCTGGAGCAGCAATACGGTGTGCAACCCATGCAGATGTAGCAACAGCAGCAGACTGTTCAGTCTGCCGTTCCCTCCACGATTGCAGGACCCTTCAACTTCACTGTGAATGCCTCCACAGGTGCTTCTACTCCCCATTCTCTCCATCCTTCAGTGCATCCTCCTCCCCACCCTCCGTTAAGCATCTTCCACCCTCCCCTTGACAGAGTGCTCTGCGGTGCTGTCAGCAGTAGTGGCGACAGCAGTACCACCACCGCCAACGCTGCAGTTACCTCTATTCCCTCCACCACCAATCCCACAACAAGCAGCAGCAGCAGCAGTCACAAATTCAAGCGAGTACCAAGCGGGTCCAAAGCACCTGACACACCTAGAAAAATTCCTGGCACTCCAAAGGAACCTTCCTCGCTGCCTCTCTGCTGCCTGTGGGCTTCTGCAAAGACCATCCCAGTGGATCATTTGCTTAGCAGCAACGAATCTCTGCCTCCTCCTCCTTCTCCTCCCTCTCACGCTCCCCACTCCCCCCGCCCTACTGTTCCCTTTTCCTCCTCCATTGGCGCTCTCACTCCCCCTCCTCATATTGGGAGAGCCACGCCACGTGGCAGCAGGAGATTGACCGTGGAGGTCCCAGCTTGTCAGAGCGAAGATCTTGATTTGCGTAGGACACCCAGGGCCAGTACACCCAGAGAAGTTACAGCTAGAGGTACACCCAGGGCAGGTACACCCAAAGAAGGCACAACCAAGGCAGGTACACCCAGGGCAGGTACACCCAAAACAGGTACATCCATTTTCAGCTAAACCAATACCAACGGTGAGGCTTTAACTCCTAGAATGCGGAGCCAAGCAACCAGATCCTTTAAAGCCTCTGACTCGTTTAGAGTAAGAGATGCTACAGGACGGCCGCAAAAGTCGGACAGTATCGAGGCTGGGGAGCCTGCAGCCGCGAAGGAAGTAGAAAAGGAAGCAGAGAGGGAAAGGGGGAGGAAGCATGAGACAGAAAAGGCGAGAGGGCAGAAGAAGGAGGGGGAGGGCGAGGAGCAAAAGAAAGAGAAGGAGGAGGATAGAATGAAGGAGGTCGATAAGCCGGATAAGCCGGATAAGCCGGATAAGCCTGATAGGCCGGATAGGCCTGATAGGCCTGATAGGCCTGGGAGGCACCTATGGTCCCAATTGAAGGATCGCTTGCGAGTGCGGTCTTCAAATAAAAGCATGGATACCATTGCATTCTCGCCTCTCTCTCTCCCCCTTGCTGACCCTCGCCACACCCTGCCTCTGTCCCACATCCCTCTCTCTACGCATCACACCACTGTCCCTCCCGGGCATCTCATTGCAACCCCGCTTCTAGCACCTGACGCCGCTTCTTCTGCCCCTTCTTCTGCACAGTTTTCTGGGCCCGCGGAGGGTAGTAATCCTCTGAGTGTGAGGAGCAGGGGCAGCGGCAGCAGCAGGAAGCTCGTAGTCTCTGCTTCCTCTCGGAGCCTGAAGCAAGCACCCAGCATTGGTGCTGGGGGGGATGGTAGTGCTGGGCGCAGTGTTGAAGACGGCTCCAGGAAGGATAGGAGGTCAGCTGTTGGTGTTGCTGTTGGCCCTGGTGCTTCCAGTGCTGCTGCTGCTGCCGGTTCTGCCGCTGCCAGTTCTGCTGCTGCCAGTTCTGCCGCTGCAGACGCAACGTCTCGGAGGCACAGGCGAGCCAAATCAGCTATTAGTTTCGCGGTGGCTGATTATATCGAAGCAGGGGTGAAGGGTGTGGGGTTGAGCGACAGTGAATCAGATGTGACCAGCACACGTGGCAAGGTTGAGACCAGCACACGTGGCAAGGTTGAGCAGAGAGGGGGAAAGAGAGGCGGGGAGAGAGGTGGGGAAAGAGGGAGGGGACGAATGGGGGAAAGACAGGGGGAGAGAGGGAAGGAGAATGGTAAGGAGAAGGAGCTGGAGAGGAATGATACAAATCGAAGGGACGTGCAGAAATGGGTGTCGAGCCTTGTTCCTCTGAAAGGTGGGGATGATGGCGATGAAGGGGACGAGGGGGATGAGGGGGATGATGAGGATGGGGAAAGAATGCTGGTGATGCGCGTGGCAAGTGCTGGTGAGGTGACTACGAGCAGAAGCCCTAGAACTCCTGGTAAATCTCCTGGTAAAAGCTTGACAGGGAGCAGGCGAAGAAGCCCTAGAAGCTTCAAGGAAGGGCAGGGCAGAGGAGACTCGTTATTGGAGAATTCGTTAATCAGAGATCATACTGGTGACGAGAACTAGCAGCAGAGGCGACGCCGGGAACGGCGGCTGCGGCAGCTGTGAGTGGGAAGGAGGTCGAGAGGGGGAGAGGAAGAGATGGGTTGGGAAGAGGAGGGAGATGAGGGTGTGGAGGGGATGGAGGGGGAGTCGGGGATAGGAGAGAAGGGCGGAGGTGAGAGGGGGAGGAGCGAGTGGAAGGGAGGCAGCAGGCAGGCATGTGCGGCTGAGGTGTTGCTGATGAGACAGTTGCAGGAGCGGGAAGAGGATGAGGAAAGAGATGAGGGCGGAGGTGGGGGAGGAGAGAGGCGAGGAGAGAAAGATGGAGGGAGAGAGCAGAGGAGGAGGGATAGATCCCAAGGCAGGGCTTCCTTCAGGGAGACCGAGAGTGCGGAAGGGAAAGAGGGAGACGGAGGACGTATGGAAAGAGGGAAAGGGAAGGGGGCCAGGGATGGAGGAGAGAACGTGGGTGAGCAACAGCAAGAGAAGGAACATATGGAAGTTGAGAGTGGGAGTGCCAAGCAGCCTAAGATGAGGGACGAGGCTGAGTTGAGAAAGGCACGGGATGGGGAAGCAAAGGAGGGCGGGGTACGGGGTGGAGAAAGGAAGGAGGGTGGAGAAAGGAAGGATGGCGAGGAAAGGAAGGAGGGTGGTGGGGAAAGGAAGGAGGGTGGGGAAAGGAAGGAGGGTGGGGAAAGGAAGGAGGGTGGTGGGGAAAGGAAGGAGGGTGGGGAAAGGAAGGAGGGTGGTGGGGAAAGGAAGGAGGGTGGTGGGGAAAGGAAGGAGGGTGGGGATCGGAAGGAGAGAAGAGCAAGGAAAGACATCATCTCAAAGCTCTCAAAGCGAGACAGGGCCTTGGCGCGCAGCAACGAGAAGGTTTACGCCACCATGCGCCGATCTAAAGACCTCAAGTCCACCAGTGGTGGTGACCCCTCTGATCCTGCCAAGCCCTCTTCTGCTGCTGGAGCCCTTGCAGATTTTGATGCGTCTAAAGTTCGCGGCGCGATCGCCCCGGGACGGTCCCGGGGGAAAACCTGCGGGACCTCGTTCCGGGCAGTTGAAAAGAGCATGCTGCCCGATTTCGAGATGGCGGTGATGGATTTGAAGCTGGATCTGAAGGCAGCAGCAGGCAGCTCGTCTCGCTTTGAGGATCATCGGCAGAAACAGTCGGCTTCAGCTGCCGCTGCCGCTGCCATCGCTGCTGCTGTTGGTGGTGGTGCTGCTGCTACCGAGGTCTCGAACAGAAGCAGCAGGGCGTAAAGCCCTTGGCGTAGCTCCAAGGACCGTAGAGGAATGTCTCAGAGCGACCTGCGCTTTGACCTTGACCTCCCAGAAGACCCCCTTGGGGACTTGGATAACACCTCTTTGGATAAAACCTCTCTGGATAGAACCTCCTTGGTTGATGCCTCTCTGGGGGACAGAGGGGGGTTGGGGCTGGGCGGGAAGGGGCGGGTGCGTGAGAGGGGGTTTCGACGGTCTGGTGAGAGCACGGGGAGTTTGACTGAGGTGGTGAGCGGGAGTGGCAGGGAGAAGGCGAGGGAGAAAGAGCGGCGGGTGAGGAAGGAGCGGACGCAGGAGGGGGAGAGAGAGAAGGAGAGGGAGCGGGAGAGGAGTAAGGACGGGGGAAGATCATCCTCGGGTGCGCGTGCAGCTGATTCTAGTCAGAGCAGCAGCACCCCAGGCAGAAGCAGTAGCAAGGATGGCAGCAGCAGCAGCAGCAAACGTCCCAGCTACCAGAGCCAAAACCTCAGCCCATTAAGGATCGAAATGCCTGTCTCGCCCCATACCCCGTCGTCCTCGGGCTTTAAAGCCAGCTTCTTTTCAAGCATGCTGTCTCCAAGGGGAATCATAGGCTCCTGGCGACCTACTAAAGTGGGGCTTTTAGGCGGGGAGATTTGCTCTCTGCAGGAGCGGTTCTTAGTTAAGCAGGAGATCGGGAGCGGGTCGTATGGGATGATCCGGGCTGTGAGGGAGAAAGAGACGGGCAAGACATGGGCGTGCAAGAGCATTGGGAAGGATCAGATTCAGGTGCGAGAGAAATAAGGGCTGTTTGCCCGAGTTACCCCAAAACCCCCATTTACCAGCCCACGCAATCCTCTATCCCTGTTCATCCATTCACTCGCTCCCCTCGTTGCCCATCCCCCCACTCCCCATTCCACGTCTCCCTCAATCCCCCATTTCCCCATATATCTGCTCCCCCACTCCCATCGGTACATGGCACCAGAAATAATTATCACGGAAACTCCAGTATTTAACCCCTTCCCCTCCCTTTCCTGTTCTTCCTGGCTCTCCCCTTCCCTCTTTCCTCTTCCAGGCGCCAAGCTAACGGAGTTCATAGGGTCCCACATGTACATGGCACCAGAAGCCTAGCCTTTCTTTCTATCCAATTCTCATTCAATGCCCTTTCCTGCTCGTCCCTCCCCCCTCCCAGGCACCCAGCTCACAGATTTCATAGGGTCGCACATTTACATGGCACCAGAAGTGATCAACAAGAGCTACAGTGCCGAGGCCGACGTCTGGTCGGCGGGAGTCGTCCTATACGTCCTTCTGGCCGGCATGCCGCCCTTCTGGGAATCCACCGAATCCGGAGTGCTGGATGCAATCGTATCCAAGCCACTCAACTTCTCCTTCCCACCATGGCCTTCCATATCCACGGAGGCCAAGGACCTTATAAAAGAGATGCTTAAAAAAGACCCGGCGGAGAGAATCACACTAGATGCTGTTCTTGGTGAGTTCACCTTTTTGCTAAGCACGTCTGCTCTTTTATTGACCACCTCTTCACCCAAGTTTCTCCGTAAGCTAACCACCTCTGGGAGCTCTGGTAACTCTTTGAGGTTCACCTTTCCCTGAGCTCTGCTCTTGCATAGTTTAACAATTTCCGGTGCGCTCTTCCTCTGCGAGTTTACCTTCCTCTGAGCACTGCTGCTTCATCCATGTGTTTGTCGTACGTAGTCCTCTTCCGCGCACTCTCCCCTCACACCCATTTCTTCCTCACACTCCCCTCTTCCTCACACTCCCTTCTTCCCACACTCTCGCCTTCCTTGCACTTTCTTCTTCCTTGCTCTCTCCTCTCCCTCGCACTCTGCCTCAAATCCTACAGCCAGTCCTCCCTCTCTCTCAACAGCCCCTCCTCCCTCTGGTGCATTGTGCCAGCTTCGCATCTGACCCCATTGTGTCTCTCCCTCAACACTCTCCTTCGCTTGATTCGCCAGTCCTGTTTTATCCTTCTGTTGTGCCTCGCACAATGCCATCGTTCAACACTCCGTTTCACTTGACTCTCAAGTCTTATCATGCCCTCATGCTCTCAACTCCTCGTCATCCTTTTTCACTCCTTTGTCTTCCCAACTTTTCCAACACTCACCTTTTTCCTTCCTCTCCCTCTCTCCTCCCCCCTTCCATTCCCGTCCGTCCCCCCTCCGTTTCTTCCCTCCCTTTCTCCCCCCCCCTTCACCACAATCCCTCTCACTCTCCATAATATACCCCATTGCCCCCCATTTCAGAGCATCCGTGGATCAAGACTCATACTGCACACTCGTGATCCCGGCCCATTCCAATATACGCACTTTCTGTTACTTGCAACCCTGTGTATTTATCCATGTTGGTTGGCACACCAACTCTTCCAAATTAACACCACTGCCCCAAACCAAACCCCCAAGCGCCCCTCCTCCTCCCCCCTCCCCCCTCCCCGCTCCACCAAATGCCTCCATGTATACGAAATCCCTTGTTATTCTGTGTGGCTGTAATGCTGAGGCATCATGTTATATAATCTATGGCCAGTTGTGTGGTCACGCATTCTGATATTGGTGTGTCAGCAGCAGCTTGAAAGATATGCACTGTTGCGGGGGTCTTCCTACCACCCCCCTCCCATACGCATAGTCTTTTCAAGGGCGAACTTGCTTGCCCGAGTCTACAAAGGCGTGCGCGGTAGTTGTTTTTTGTCTGGGAAATTTCGACATACAGTACTGTGCAAAGTACGGTAAATTTTAGCCGGAGGCTCAAATTGTTCATGTTTTAAAAGGTTGACTGGGAGGTAGTTCAGTATTTGGGTTGGGTCTAGAGGACATATTTCACCAAATTCGCTCTTTTAGCTACACCCAGCCAGTTTGGGTCGTTTCCCCTGGTGGGAGATGTCCCAAATTGCAAGTGATTTTTTTTTTTCAAGTTTGCAAACTACTCACCATCAAGTTATAAAACTGACCCGCACGCCTCGCAATTTGGGACTTGGGCTTTAACCCCCCCTCATTTGTGCTGAAAATATTCACCGTTGCACAAAGTGTTTACCTACTTGCTATCCCAAACAACATGCTTATTGGAACACACTTTGTGAAATGGGCTTGACAGTGGACTTTCAAGAGTGGATGAAAGCTGGCGGTTCTTCTTGACCTGTACAGTTCAACAAGGGTAAGTAGCTTTGGCAGGGGTAAAACTAGCAACCCTGCACTTTGAAGGGGACTACAGTGCCAGTAGCGGGCACTTTCCACCCCTCCGTGCCTCAGACAAGGAAGTTATAGAAACAGGACAGTGCTCTTCCCCACATTCACCTACGTGTCACCAATTTCCATGCCACCTACTGTACTGGACATCTGACCAACTGTGCGCAACAGACTTTTGTCCCTTCTGCCAAATCGAATCCACACTCTGGGTGGCTCGGCTGCGACATTGTTCTGAAATCTGCTAGGCTACTGTTTCGCGCCCAAAATTTCGGAACACAAGCCAGCAAGGCAGACGGAAACGGAGTACACCTGATGCCCGATAGAGTCCCCCGAGGGTCCCTTGTGCTCTGGGCTTATAGGTGCGAAGTGCATTTCGCCACATTCGTAAACATCGCCAGAGGCAACATGTGCCTTTAAAAGGCACATGTTGTAACAAGTTTGTTTTTTCCTGCACGGTGTTGGTCGGCAGGGTTTGGTGCTTAGGGGTAGATGTGGTTACCACTAATTTTATGTTGTACTATTGCATGCGATTACAGTCCTTCTCTCCCTTTGTCACAAACAACACCCCCAACCCGCAGGCCAATGAAAACGCCACATCTGTACCCATGCAAACACACTCGCTCAAGCAAACATCAAGCGCGGAGCCAATGTTGCCAATAGCGCGCCTTCGCCATGGCGATGAGCCCCTGGTCAAGGGGTTGGGTGAAGCAAGTGGTGTTCGGAGGCAAGAACACCAGTCGGACATTCCCAAGAGCGCGCGTGCGGAAGCCGAAGAGATCCTCGGTCACGGCCCCCTCGGTCTTGAGCGTGTGACTGCTCGCGTTGTCGAGCAGAATCACGATTTTCCTCCGCTCGGCAAACATGGCAGCGTCGAATTGCTCGATGTAGTGCGTGAACAGCTGCCATGACACACCGAACAAATTGGAAAGGGGGTTGGGTGTTGTTAGTTAAGGCCTAAACGAGCATTGAATACCGAACACAAATGCCATGACACAATGCAGTCGGAAAAATAAGACAAGAGGCCGGAATGGACAACGACTCATCGATGAAGTCATCCATCCCTTAGCATTGTTGCACCAGTAGCAGAGCTCCTCCGGGTTGTAGTCGGGACGGAAGTCGTGGGGGCGCTTCGCCTTAGAAATCACAAGAGGACGGAATGAACGCGATCCGTCCGTGTTGACAAGGAATCCAATGGTGAGGCGTTCCTTCGCCACCTTCCTTCCCGCCGTACGCCCATTGCCGTAGGTCTTGCGTGGCAGGACGGAGAGGTACAATGCTGTCTCATCGAAATTGAAGGTGTCCTGCGGCCCGACCGCGAGATACATGAGGAGTTGCGGGAGCTTCTCCCGGGCTGTACGAACGGCCGCCATGTCCTAGTCCGCCGCCTCGCCGAC